GGTTGGACTTAAACAATGATTGATAAGGATGATCCTTGGAAAACAACGTCAAGGGGTGAAAATGGATACTTCTTTGGGATTCGATGTGACTACTTTTTCAAAAGTTTTCAGGTGCACACATTAATGTCGCAATTTCAGTTTTAGGAATTTATCCCGTGGATGTGCTGCTACAAGCATGCCAATGATATAGTAAATGGTGGTATTTCCTCTGTATAGTCGAAAGCCAGGCCTGTTCCTGGGGGCGTGGCAAGATGCGCAGAAGCTGTTAGGTAGCAGTGTGCTTTGCCTGCATTCACCTGTGGTAAAGAAGTTAGGAAAGTAGATGCATGTGTGGCAGCATTGCTTAAAACCTATGGAAGGTCGTGCTGTGAAATGCTAAACATTAATGCAAATGTCTTGGGAAAAGACAGGTTAGGGCCCTGGCTAGGATCTTTGTTTTATCCGTAATATTCTGTACCATTTGCTTCGTTTTTAATGGTTGTTAATCTTCCTTTTGTTCCTTTGAGGTGGAGTCTCAGTCTGTAAGGAGGCCTAGCTTGGAAATCACTACATACATAGACTGGGCTGTCCTTGGACTTGTGACATTTCTCCTTCCAGAATGGCCACCCCCAACCCCAGTGCCACAATCACAGGTGTGAGCTACCAGGAATGGCTGTGTAATTACTTTTCTAATACACTTGACAAGATTTATTTACCTTTGGGAAGAAAAAAGTTCAGTAATACTCTGTTCTAGTGGATTGTAAATTAGAATTGTTTCCTCTCAAACCTATTCTTGGTACTGTATATCCAAAATCTGGAGACTTACTCTTGTATAAAAGTTCTGATGAGATAGTGACTGTCAAAACTATTTTCCCCTTTTTTAAGGGGGGGTGTGCTGCCTTGTCCTTTAAAAGACTATATTCTCTTTAGCCAAGAAGTCAACCAAACACAATTAAATTTTAATATTGCCTTGGATGTTTTGTTTTTATTAACATCATTTTATGAGTATTTCCTCCCAGATTTATCCCAGGCTCTTCCTCAAAACATTAACAAGAAGGCTGGGAATATAGCTCAGTGGCACAGAACTTGTAAGGACCGTGCACTTAATCTCTGGCACCACAGATGTAAACAAATTAGCTAAATAATAGAAAAAAAATGTGAACGGTCACGAGAAATTTAAGACCAGAACATCGCTTTAGACCCTTCTGTTTAGCTCTAGAAAGATAAGCCTGAGTCTTATTTTTTCCGCCTTTACCACACACCAAAAAGAAGGTTTTTTAGCGTGCGAGTGTGTTTTGCATTCGATGAGTGCACTTGTAACTTTAAAGGTCGTGGTGAGATAAATGTCAGAGGAAGTCCACGCCCACTGAATGCAGGCAGACATTCCTAGTTTTATCAGAATCCCGTGAAAAGTTGTCAGACCCCTTGGCTACCTGTTGTGGCAAAGGTTACGTTATACTCACGACAGAAGGCTTTCTAGACTTCTGCCAGGTTTACCCAATGCTCCACTCTCTAGCTTTTCATCTCACGACTTTTCTCTGGAATCTAGGAAAGAGCAAGGAGCCGTGCTACTAATATCAATCTCTGCCGTTCCAGAAAAACCTTAAGTGATTTTAAAGGATGACGCCATCTTGCTAGCAAACATGCTTGTCACATGTGAAATTGAAATTCAGAGGAAATATAAAGTAGGCTGTGTAGAGGACTAGAAATGAAACAGGAGATTGAGCCGTGTCCCTTTAAAGTGAGAGACATTAAAAGGGACATTAAAGTTGTTGGCCTTCTTGCATTTACTCACCTGTGAGGAATTGTGAGCAGCAGCTGGGCATTGACCACCTCGGGCACAGAGTTGGCCAACAGCTGTGCCCAAAACTAGACTTGTGGTCCATTGCCAGTTTGACTTGTTCAGCCACACCCTGTGAGGTCTACCTGTGTACTCATGCTTATGCAAACAGCTGTATTATTCTGTGTGGGGTTTTGTGCCCACCAATCCATATGTGCATTTATTTCCCTCTGGCAGCATTGTTCTCTGTAGGCAAAACTCTATTGAAAGATGAGAGGGAGGAGAGTTGATGGGCAAGTATAGAATTGAACATGAAATGAGTCTTTTACCGCAGTTAAAAAGAAAGAGCAGTGATTCGTCGAATGAAATGAGTCTTTTACCGCAGTTAAAAAGAAAGAGCAGTGATTCGTCGAGTAGGGTAGATAAACTGCAAAAGGCAATTGAGCAAAAGTTGCTGGATGTCAGAGATTACAGAAAGCATGCCCATTATTTTTATGTCAGTTCCTAAACTCCTTCAGGGGACTGGAGAGATGGCTCAGTGGTTAAGAGCAGTGGATGTTCTTCCCAAAGACCCAGGTTCAATTCCCAACACCCACGTGGTAGCTTAGAGCTGTCTGTAGTTCCAGTTCTGGGGGATCTGATACCCTTGTACAGATATGCATGCTGGGAAAATGCCAGTGCATGTAAATTAAAAATAAATAAGTCGTTTTTAAAAAATAAAACAAAACTCCTTCAGACTGTTTCTCTCCATCTGTAATCTCCAGCAGCCAGCAATTTACTCAGCATGTAGTGTTCTCAAGTTGCACTTGGAAAAAGACATAAGAGGGACTCAGCATTGTTTTCATGACAGACAAGCAAGACTTATATCAGGGCACAGCATATGGGAACCGGCAATGTTAACACGGTGTTAACTATAACTGATAGTTGTCTAGGTAAAACCTTGACAAGATTATGGTAGTGTTTCACAATAGTTTAAGACAGGTGGTCCAGCGAGATGTCTCAGCAGGTAGAGGAGTTTACCTCCAAGCTTATTGACCTACCTGAGTCTGATCACAGGGACCCACAGGTTTGAAGGATAGAACCAACTCCCGTAAATAGTTCTCTTCCCTCCATAAATGTACCATGACATTTATATAACCACCCACATAGGCAGGCAAAACATGTAAGTGTATATAAATGAATAGGATCAGCTAATGACTTGGCCACAGACTTCATTTAAATGTGGTATTGGATAGATGCGGTTGTTTCCTTTATTAATTTTTTTTTGGCTCCCATGAGAAAGGAACCTTTAGTTTATCCCCTATTTCTTACTCAAGGGAACAGGCATGCAGAGCTGATTTTTCACACTCTGTCGTGCTGACTGGGCTCTTGTTCGGGGATCTGTGGTTTAGGGAAGGCGGTAATGGGGACAGAGGAGTCTCCTGCCTTGCTGGGGCACTGCCTCTCGTTACCTTTCATGTGAGAGTCCCAAGCTTGAAATGGGGACAGAAGTAACTCTTTAGCCTATGTAGGAAAGGTGACTGCCCTGCGGGGCTCACTGCAGCTCCCCGGAGCTGTCAGAGATGTTCTTCTATCAACACAACCAACACCACGATTGCTTCTTCAAAGCATTCGGTTCTCTCATGCCCTCACCCTGAAGAGGGGGATAACTAGATCAGAGTAGGATTTGTAGATCGTGGCTCTCCTGACCAAATGCCATTATAATGCTCCGAGAGGCCTCCCTTTTATAATGTCCCTTTATCCTTAAACACATCCTAGTAACATCTTTATCATCCTCCTCTTCCTGCCGTTCATTCATCCTCTTGTTGGTAAGTTATGACCGCCTGCCTCTTCTGGAAACTATCCCCCACGCACACTCTTTTTCAAGGGCTAAAGAAGATGCTTATGTTTGAAAAAGGGTTGCCCTGCTAACTATGTCAGACAGGCCATCTGACTTCCAGTCCCCACGGAGCCACGGGAACAAATTGCCAGTCGGTTCGCGGCCATCTGTGGGAGCTCTGGCTACCAGGCTGCAGTTAACCCTGCCTTGTGACCGTGGGAAGCGCGTTCTTTAAATATCGACCCAACTGCTTTCCTCTTTCCTCGGAGGGGAGTCTCATTAGTAGGGCGAGAAGACATAGTTTGAACAATTGAGATGGATAGAAAAAGCGTTAGATGGTGTTACTTTGCATAAAGCTGGTCCTGTGGTGCTGAGTTTAGTGTTGGGCAAGCCTCCCTTGGCCCTAACGGTACCGCGGTTCGTTTTAAATTTCCTATATTTCATCTCTGTATTTTGTGCACGCTATAGTTTCTCATCACAGGAGTTTCTAATATATGAACTTTTTATCACCCAGGCCTTCCGGACATGTTTTGTTTCACTCCAGGGAAAGCAAACAGCCTAATGTTCTTTCCTGTCGTTTTTATCAGTCCAGCTCAGTACTTGTACTCTCTCACTTTACCCGGGGACTTCAGATGACCAGTTAGAGTAGCAGCTGGATGTGAGTTTCAGCTCTTACTTTGCTATGATTTTAAGCACCTGTGATGATAACTGACAGATGTCTGAGGAAGTAAACAATAGCAACAAAAAATGGGGAGAATTTCAACCGTTTGTAAGGATCCCCCAAAATATACCGAGGAAACAAAGGGAGTTAGCTTGTTTGGGAGTATTGCATGGTTTTTTCTTTATTTCCTTGTTTGCTTGTACCGAATCCACCAGGTGTTCTTCTGGTATTCAGTTCTGAGTCAGTCATTACTGGGGACCAGCATTCAGTCTGATGACTACTTGGATTTGTGGGGCGCGGTTTGAGATGGGGCTTCTCTGTGTATCCCTGGCTATCCTGGAACTTGCTCTAACTCACTGAGATCCGCCTGCCTCTGCCTCCTGAGTACTGGGATTAAAGGTGTGTGCCACCCTGCGGGGCTACCCTTTTCATTGCTCCTCTCTCCATTTAATCAGTGAGCTGAACTCTTTTATAACTGGCAAATGCCCAAATTGAACATCCCCCAAATTCTTAGAAGCATGTCTTTATCTTTTCAGCCTTTTGTTGGAACTGTTTATTTTTAAGCTAATAACTACCTGTGGCATAGATACCGTGAGGTCCCATTATGAAGACATGCCGCATGGAAGAAATGTAGCCTGCATAATGCAGGTGTTAACACGGTGGCTTTGAATCATAGATTAAAACACTTGGAGAAAAGCGTTCCCCGTTGAACCCCTGAGAGCCGTCTGACCTTGTCTGTGCTTTGCTGGTTGCTTCTGCAGTTTAACTCAGCTGCCAAGCAGCTGATAGAGTGGGATAAGCCGCCGGTGCCGGTAGACACCGCAGAATGCCCGTCCACGACAGCGCAGAGCAGCACTGGTCCAAAGCACTCTGACACCAAGAAGAACACCAGGAAGCGACACTCCTTCACCTCTCTCACCATGGCCAACAAGTCTTCCCAGGCCTCCCAACACCGCCACTCCATGGAGATCAGCCCTCCTGTGCTCATCAGTTCCAGCAACCCTACGGCCGCAGCCCGCATCAGCGAACTCTCTGGGCTCTCCTGCAGCGCCCCTTCTCAGGTACAGGGCGGGGCCCGCCCGCTGCAGAAGTGAGCGGGAAAACGTCTAAAGAGGGTGGCTTTCCTTGCTGCCCTCTTCGCGTTTGTCTTAGTTACTGTCTCACTGCTGTGATCCAGCGACTTGAGGGAGAAAGGGTTTATTTTGGTTTAGTGGTTCATCGGGATGGGGAGACATGACAGCAGGCGGGAAGGTGGGGTACCAACATTGCATCGGTGCTTAGGAAGCTTAGCATAAACAGGAGGTGGGGTCCAGCTACTAAACCTCAAGGCCCTCTCCCAGTGATCCATTCCCTCTAGCTCCTTAATATGTTACAACTTTCCCTAACGGCACCTCCAACTGGCGACCAAGTGTTCAAACACAGAAACCTGTGGGTACCATTTTACACACAAAGCACAGCAGTATTTTAAGTAGAAAAACGGAGAAGGGAAAGCTAGCTTAAGTGTGTCATCCCAAAACTACGGACTCAGAGACAGTACTGGAACCTTCAAAGCGTGTAAAATAATGCTACCGATTTCAGAGCGTTTACTCGGTTTTGCAAAACTCCTCAGTGCTACACTGGAGGTCTCATCGTCGAGAACTATCTCTGTCCACACTCATGGTACTCAGTTTGATGCTCATACCTGCAGCTTCTCATACTTTGGTACCTGGACTTCCCATCCAAGTAAGAGGAGAAATGATAGAAAGAAACATTCAGCTTAGAAATTGACCATTGCCATTTTGAAAATCTCCGTTATTCATCAGGACTGTATTAAAACATGGCCACGTGTTATTTTTGTTAAAAATTTATGAGTCAGTTGCCAACATTCTCTCGTTCATTTGGCAATTGATTGTTGAATGTTCTATTATTAGCCTCTTGGGCACAGTGTGTAATGAGATATATAGGACGCAGGCGTTCCTTATGGAGGCCTTGTTCTGATCTAGTATGGCTCTAACTGTGGCCCTGTCCCACAGGGAAAGGACAATGTCATCCACTTAGAGGACAGCTACATTTCTCCCAACCTGGAAGTCAGAGAGCTGTGTCCAAAGGGAACTAACGCGGCAGGAGAATTTCCCTTAAGGCTTATGTATCATTTTATTTCATGTAGATTTTATTCCACAATGTAGCTTTGGGTCGTTTCTCCTTAAAATATAAAAAATGAAATTAAAGAAAAAGTAAGCATAATCTCAATCCTGAAGAAGCTTATACTAAAAACTGGGCATTCCTTGTTAATTTTATTTATTGATTGGACATCTCTGGATTGACACAGCATATAAGGAATTAAATGTATTTACTCTGACCAGGATTATGAACTTTTTTTTTGCTTCTTATATATTTATTTATTTCAAGTGATAAGGTTACAGAACTTTTGATTTTAGTGAAGAAAAATAGAACATACCTGATACATGAACATGAGTGCAAGGAAAGTAAGGGTCTTCGTTTCGTTCACGGATAGCACTGCACAAGGCGTACGCACATCAGCAAGCACTCGCAAGCTTGTTCAATGGATGAGCCGCTTAAATATAGATGGAGAAATGCTATTACCTTTCCCATAACCAATGGTCTCATGAAAACAGACACAGGGGCTTGAGTCGGCTAAGTGGTTAAGAGCACTTGTTGTTCTTGTGAAGGACCTGGGTTCGATTCCCGGCACCCCCGTGAGGCTCATCACTTCCTCAGTCACCAGCAAGCATGTGGTGAAGGCAGAGCCCTCATATGAATAAAATAAATCTGAAAAAAAAAAAACAAGAATGAAAGAAAAGGGAAGGGTTTAGGCCAGAGCCTGAGGTTGGATTGTAGGTCAGAGTGAAGGTAACACATGAACTGGGGAGACTCACCGGATCCTTGAGGAAGGGTCTGAAGAAGGGGCTTGGTAAAGATCCACTAACAGAAAATAAAACGTTTTGAATGAGTTTGTTTTGTGTGTGTGAGGCACTAGCCACATTCGCACAATGCGATTTTCTTGACGTAGATAGATCCAAGCTCTCGTGGGGGCGTGCTGACAGTCCTCAAGGGGAGGAGCTTTGCAGCAGTGGGCTGTGGTTTTATTTTGTAGTGGAAAAAGTCAAAAGGAAGGGGAATGAAGTGTTGTGTCCTGTAGTGAGCTCAGCCGCCAGGTGTTGGCGTGTCCGACACTGCCACACCGCAGCTGGGGATAAAGTGGGGCTATTTTTGTGTGACTATGAGTGGTTTAGGAAACAAGGCTCTTTCTGTTTTCTTGAAACAGTTCCCCCTTCAACTGTCTCCCCCTTCCTCCCTTCTGTAACGAGAGGGTTGTTTTCAGTGGTGGCGTGTTGCCTCAGGGAGAAGTTATTTCTAGCAGAGGATAGGAGGTGTGTGAAGTGCTGCCTGGCTCTCCCGCTGAGGTTTACAGAAAACACCACTTATGTAGGGCACAGTGCGCTTTGGAGGGATCCTTCCGTCCCCAAGGAAGCTTGAGTGTGTGAGTGTGTGCCTGCTTCACAGGCACATACATGGCCCTTAACATGGAGACGAGTGCGTGTGGGGAGACAGTGAGAAGCTGCTTCACACTGGCCTGCCCAAGAGATACCGCCCCGGAATCTGTCTTTGCCACAGGCATGATCTCCTCATTTTCCTTACTCATGCTCATCTTTCTTTCTTTCTTTCTTTCTTTCTTTCTTTCTTTCTTTCTTTCTTTCTTTCTTTCTTTATTTTTGGTTTTTTTGGAGACAGGGTTTCTCTGTATTGTTTTGGAGGCTGTCCTGGAACTCGCTCTGTAGACCACGCTGGCCTCGAACTCACATCTTTATTTTTTTTAAGACAGTTTTCTGTCTGCCATGTATGACTTTATGCCAGAAGAGGGCATCAGATCTCATTATAGATGATTGTGAGCCCCCATGTGGTTGCTGGGAATTGAACCCAGGACCTCTGGAAGAGCAAACAGTGTTCTCAACCTCTGAGCCATCTCTCCAGCCCCTCATGCTCACCTTTAATTCTATTTTCTTTCATTCTATTGTTTTTTCTTTTAATGTATTAGTTAGGGCTTGATTTGGTTGTGATTATTGGAAAGTAAAAAGAAACCGACCTTAAAAAGTTCGTATCCATTTGTTTCTCTCATCTGAATGAGATCTCATAGCTACAGATGCGTAGGCAGTTGAGTGCTGGTGTAATGGTACTCAGAAAATGGGGTGACTTTGATCTCAGTTCCCCATCATATGAAAAGTCCGTGTCTTCATGCTATAGCTGATAACGTGTAGATCTCATTGTTATATCCAGTGTCTCCGTCAGCAGGATGGCCACGTGGCGAAGGGTCACAGGGCTTGCTTGCTGTTGTATTTAGTGGCTGTTGAGTGAGGACTGAACTTGTAAAGGTATAAACTAGAAAATGACCTTCGAGCTGTGCTGTGCAGGTGAATCCCTAACACACACATTCATGGGTGAATGTGATTGACATCCATCAAACACATGAAGACATTTGGTCTGCCCCTGACCATACCTACGATACCTTCCGCTTGTGCCATCTGGAGGCGTGATTCGTATTGCCAAGGGTTTCTGAGGCATTTTTATATTGCCCTTGTCCTCGGGAGAAGCAAGAAGGCCCATCCGATCACCCGATTTCTCTCCCCAACTTTTCCCGTTTTCCTAGCTGCTTCTTGTACAAGGGACTGACTGATGTTTGTGGTTTCATGGAGGCACAGGTGCTGGCCAACTGCATTGCTATCCATGCAGAGGATAAGGCACCCCATCGGGATGTCTGCTCTCCCCATGTCTGAAGTACCCTCAACATTCTGCAACCTCGGTGGACCTGATCGAGTAATGGAAGCAGTGAAATGACCTAAATAACTCAATTTCTTTCTAGTAAATTAATCCTGGATAGTATCCTGGATAACACCTTTGAAAATGATTTGGCTTGTTATTATTTCTTTAAGGTTCTTTATTGGCTATAGGCATGTCTAGGCAATTGTATTTTCATTGCTGGTCCTTGCTGAATGATAGAAGTCTGAAGGCATGATCTTGAAAATAGCAAAATGCCTTAAGAATTTTACATAGATTTGCTAGATCGATAGAGGGATGAATGTTGAGCCACAGCTTACCTTAGTGCGGTTTCCATGGGAATGTGAAGCTAGTTTAGCCTCAGGCTGACCGTACAAACAGTTGGATTCATGCTAGCATATAAAATAAGGTAGCATGTTGTGTGAAATAGCACATTGCAGTGACTGGCATATCTGGTACATATTAGGTCATTCAAAAATTTGGAATTGAATACAATGAAAAGGATCCTGTCTTCTCCAAATAATTTCATATACAGGATTTTTAATGTGACTTCCACCAGTAGGATCTGATGCTTTCAATATGGCGAACTTAGGTTGGGGAGATGGGCTCGGTAAAGCACTTGCCGTACAATCCCAATGGCCTAAGTTCCGATCCACAGAACCGAGATAAAGCCAGGCATCATATATCCATCCATCGTCAGCATACTCCCACAGGAAGGTAGGAGATAGAGGCCGGAGAATCTCCAGGAACTCACAAACCAACTTGTTTGGCATGGGTACCTGTGAATGAACAAGAGGCCCTATCTCAAAGTAGATGGCGAGGCCAGCATCCAAGATTATCCTCTGACCTCCACATGGCACTATGGCAGGCACACACACACACACACACACACACACACATACACACACACACACACACACGCACGCACGCACACGAGCGGGAGGGGGTGGTGGAGGCAGTGGGAGACAAACAGGCAGAAACAGAGAGAGACAGTTTTTTTTTTCCTTAAGGCATGGCTGTCTTTTTATTATTTCGTTTCCCTTGACAGGTTCATATAAGCACCACTGGGTTAATTGTGACCCCACCCCCAAGCAGCCCTGTGACAACTGGGCCTTCGTTCACGTTCCCGTCCGATGTCTCCTACCAAGCTGCCCTTGGAGTGAGTATCATCTCTGTGTCTTTGTTTCTTAAGTCTTGATGAGCCGACACATTCCTACCCACGCCTGCAGTGCACGTGGTTGCTTGCTAGGTGGGACCAGCACCTACCCTTCCTCTGTTGTCTCTGAAAATCTCACACACACACACACACACACACACACACACAAATAGTTAGGCTTCCTTGCCAGTCTCCCTAAAGTTTTTAATGCTGGCAATTGGTGGCCCTGAAGCGATAAGAACTCTGAAAAATACATTTAATTTTGCTGAAGCGCAGTTTGATTTCCCAAGCGGCTTAACTTTTATTTCTTTGGGGTTTCTAGCTCCTGCTTATTCTTTTTGAAGATACATTTATAGAAATGCTGAAGCTCCCCCCCAATCTTCCCAGGCTAGGTGACTTGCTTTCATTCACAAAATAAATTCATGCCAAGTGTCTGTTTCTAGGATCCATTGCTGGTTTCTTCTCCTCTGTAGCTCATGGTGATTCCTTCAAGGTCCCCTCTGCCCTGGGAGGGTCCTGTGGAGTATGTTGGTTTTTCCTCTTAAAAAAGCTCACCATCCCACAGACTGTAGTAACCATCAATTGCACAGAGACATCTGATGGGGTGTGTAGCCTGGAGACTCACAACAGACAAGAGAGATAGATGCAATAGAGAAAAACAGCCCCCCTTGCTTCCAGAAATCACAATTCAGGAGCTGCAAGGAACTGGAGAATAGGAGGCATCTCTCACTCAGGCTAATGTCTTGGTTACACGGTTCAGACTATTGGCTCCTGCACCATTCAATCAGATGGCCTGGTACCTGGATCGTGGCATCACCCTCCCCGGTCCTGTACCTGCAGTATCTGATGATCCTCTCTGGGAGACAGTGTGGCCCGTTGAAGGGTTTTAGGCTTGGGATGGGACAGACTTGGGTTTCAGCCTTTTTTTATTTGTCACATGACCCTGAAAAGGTTACTCGGCCTCTGTGCGTGTTAGCTTCTGTCAACTTGGCACAAGCCTAGACACATAGGAAGAGGGTAGGTCAGTTAAGGACCTGTCCCCATGGCCTGTGGGCATGCCTGTGGGGCATTTTCTTGGTTACTGATAGATGCAGGAGGGCCCATTCTGTGGTGGGAAGGTCCAGTCCTGGGCAGCTGGTCCGCGCTATAAGGAAGGTACCCGAATAAGCCACAGAAGCCAGCCAATCAGACGAGACCCACAGTCTTTGCTTTAGTTCCTGCCTCCATGCTCCTACTTTGGGCTCCTGGGAGCCCTGGCTTCCCACTGTGATACAGTGGGATAGAGTGGGGTGCTCACTGCTGCTCTTCTCACTGGTCTCTACCAAGGACCCGTTCAGGCAGGACTGGTACACGTGACGTTGGCACCCCAAGGGCCATGGAGAGGCTGGTGTAACTTGGGTGTTGTTTTCCCTGTCCTCTGTGCCAGTCAAATGAGGCTTCCAAACAGCTGGTTTGTTTCTAGGTTGTGGATTTTATGTGTGTCGTAAAGATATTTTTCCTCTGCTAGTTTCCTTAAAGATGCACTTGTAGCCAGGACCTCCCAATATATTGACTCCGTCTAATTTTACTGTCTTCTTTTTCTGTTTGCTTCATTTTCTTCAATGTCAATTTTCATGCATTTAAAACAAGGTTGGGTATAAATAACTGCAGTTATTACCTAACTTCATTTAGACTTCTAAAGACACTCATGGAAGTAAATCATGATCTTCTGTTTACGTGGACACACTGATGTGTACTATTCACAGGTTAAAATTGGTAGGTTTTTTTCTCTCTCTCTCTCTATTCTTTTTTAAAATACTCCCTGAGCAGTTACAGCTTCCTTGCTAAGACAGCTGCTTAGTAAAGGAGACATGGCCTTGCTTCATCTGGGGAGAAGAGGAATCTCAGTGAACATTTATTAAATGTGGTTTCCATACTATTCAGTTAGCCTTGGATGTTTCACTAAAGCCAAATTTCGTAACCCACCCTACCCTCCAGTCTCCAGAGGAATCACTTCTTTTTTCCTTTCCCTCCAACAAAGCACATACAACCACAGTGTACTTCCCATGCGTGGAAGCATTCCGACTCCATGTCTTAAGGGGGTAAGGGATGGCTGACTTTTCTGATCTTAGAGAAATTAATTAGTGTAAAAGATACAAGGCTGGCCAAGTTTTAGCCCTTGTGAACTGAAAATTTTATAATATAGTAAATGACCAGTTCTTTGCTAGGGGGTTGACTCTCGGGCAAATCAATGGAATAGGCCCCAAGAGAGCATATAAAAATTAATTCATGTTCAGTCATTTTTATCCTAGGATTTTTATAAGAAGGACTGAGTATTAAGCAAGGGAGAGATTTATTAAACACTGTCTACTGTGCCAGTTCCATTTAATGAAAAACTAATTATAAACAGGCTTGCCTGTCATCCCAAGAGATGGGTAGATCTCGAAGTCTCTCATAGTTGGTAGAAATGCTGTGGATTTAATGTTGGCTTTGGGTGGGAAACTCCATAGCACATACACTCGTGCCCTTGGTAGCTCTAGTTAGTTGTGGCAAGGATTCTGTTTAAGTAGTATTTCAGGAGACTTTGCCATCATATCAGTAGTATATAGCTAGGTAGGAAAAAAACAAAACAAAACAAAACCAAAAAACTGTCTTTTCATAGTATGGATTTATAGGAAGTAAATGCCACCCCTGGGATAGGAAATGAAAATTATTTCCAGCGCTTTTTTCGTAAATTGAGACTTTTAAATCTTTCATACAGAATGAGGTTATTTATGAGCATATGTCTCCAACATGTCACATGCAACAGTGAGAATGTTAAGTCTCTTCCATCAGGAGCAGGAGAAGTATCACAGCTGTCGGAGTCAGGCAGGAGCCTATTAATAGCAGTTGGTCGTTGTTGTTGTTGACTTTTCTGTGGGATGAGGAAGGTGAAGATCTTAGCCCTGTATCTCCAGCACAGGGGCAGAAGGATGTCCCCAAGGAGTAATTGCTGATACTGTGTGATGAGTTTCGCTGCAGAGCACCACCAGACAGCCGGGTCATTAAAGGCCAAATGCTACCTGCGACAGATTACAAATAGGCTTAATTCTAACCCTCTTTAAATTTTTCCCTCCTCCTCTTCTTCCTTTTTTAAGATAGTATCTCGTGTAACCCAATAAACACACTATGTACCCAGGGATGACCTTGAACTCCTGATCCTCCTGCCTTTACCTCCAAAGTACTTGGATTCTGAGCGTGTGTGTGTGTGTGTGTGTGTGTGTGTGTGTGTGTGTGTGTGTGTGTGTGTGTGTATAGACATTAGGGCTGTGGCTGTCTCTCAGTTGGTAGACTGCCTGTCTACAATGTATGAAGACTCAACTTTGGTCCCCAGTAACGGGTGACACACACCTGCAATCCTGGCCCTGCAGAAATGAAGGCAAAAAGATCAGAGTTCAGGGTCACTCTCAGTGGTATTGAGTTCACCCTGGGTGTGGTTTTTTTCAATGGAGATGTCAGGTCTCGAAAGACAGCCAACTGCCTGCAGCCCGGTGCAGGGTGGTTCACCTTTTGAACTTCCACTGTGCCGTTACTGTTTATAAAGCAACCCACAGGCCTTCCTGCTGTACCACGGCTCTGGATTCAGAGGGCCCTATCATTTTCCCAGCCCACGGGACCAAGCAGCATCTAGGACTCGGCTTTAATCAGGCATTCTCCATCTGACACACATTCACTCATGCTGAGAGGGGGGAACATCTGCCCAGTGTTCTGAAAAGACCATCTCTTCCCTTGCAAAAACAAAGAGAGATGATTGTATTTCTCTTAGATACCAGCTTCGGGTCTGTCTGTATGAACATCCCCTTTGCTGCCTTCTCTCACTGCGTAAACTCTTCCCCCATAAGCAACTGCATTTGCTTACTGTTTTAGAACAAGCTGTGACCCTTCGTTATGCTTTGCTAAAATGTGAAATCTGTTTTTTAAATCAGGTCCATAAGTGGATTTTGTTTTTGTTTTTTTGCCTCTTTCTAAGACATAATTTAGCCCAGTTGCTCTTTTTAACTGTTTTCATTGTATCTCCTTGTTGAACACATGTCATCTGGCTTCTGCCTTTCCATAGTTGCACTCTCTTGGGTTTGCAAAGACTGAGTGATCTGGCCAATGGCGAGTTCCTGATTTCTCTGTCTGTCCCTCTGTGGGCAGTTAGGCCCAACCCACCTCACCTGTCAAGCCTCAGACGTGGTGTTATCTTTGAACAGCACGGATCACATTTTCTCACTGTTTTGCCTGGATTATCTTTATTTTTCTCAGCTTTGTCACTGGAAGTGGGCCAGACAGAATGCTTGATCCTCCGCTTGAAGGGTCATGACTCCGTGCCTCGGAGCCTGCAGTCCCAGGGGCATAATGACCTAAATGTTGCCCTTTTTGTGTGGTGAGCACCAAGCGACTTCTTCGTGACTTTTTGAGCACCCTGTCTTGTCCAGGCTGGCACTCTGTAAGCAGTTCCACGCCTCATTTACTTCTGCACTCAATGGTCTGCTGCAGTGTGGGAAAGTCCTCCCCAAAAGCCACGTTAGCAAAAATGTAAATAGGACACGTGAAACGGTTAGCTACAGGTCTCCTAGTGTGGGAATGTCTGCAATCTTGTGCTTTAATAGATAGATGAGTGTTAATGGGACTCAATTTTCATTTCAAAACTTTGAAATGGAGTGACTTGAAACTGCTTTAACACCGCTGGGTTTTTCCCACTGAAGGTGAAGCGAGGAAGCTGTTTATGCTTGCTGGGTGGGTTCTGTCATCGCTCTGCTTCTCCCGTGATTCAGTTTCTACCTCTCGTAGCTCAGAGATTTGGGGAGGGCGAGGTAGGGGTTCAGGCAGGCTTTGTATGCGCGTTTTCCCAGGAGTTTCGGTGCACAGTCCCTGAAGAATTGTCTTGGGTTTACAGATCAGAAGGTAACAATTGCTCCATTGATTTTCAAAGCCACGGAGCCCTGTGGGCAGAACCCCATTAGACTGTGACCATAAAGGACTTTTCACTGGTGTGTGTGTGTTAAAGATTACCAGCCTTGATAGTCCTAAATTTCAAAAACTGGCAAAGTGGAGAAAAGGAAAAGCGAAAGTAGCAACAATAGCCTTGTGACTGTGGCTTGCCATTGTTTGGGCTCCGGGAAGATCAGGCTTCAAAAGAAACCACCGCAGTAGAAATGGCTTGAGATACAGTGCAGCTAAGCTGTTGTGTGTTGTACTTAAGTTTCAGGTTACAAAAACCCATCATAAAATTAATTCCAGTCAACAACATGACATTATAGCAACTCCCTTGAAAGGCGTCTCAATTCTTGTCCAAATCTCTATTTATTCTCTTTAGTTTTTAATTATTACTTATGTGTATGAATGTTTTGCCTGCACGTATGTCTGTGCACCATGTATGTCCCTGGTGCCAGCAGGAGCCAGAAGAAGGGATTGGATCACTTGGTTCTAGAGTTACAGATGGTTGTGATCTGCTTTGTGGATGCTGGGAATCAGGCCTGGGTCCTCTAGGAGAGCAGCCAATGCTCTTAACCAATGCGTTATCGCTCCGGCCCCGACTCTGTGCTTTTCATGTTTTGTGACTCTTAAACCTTTACACAGTCATTTCCCCCCCCCTTCCTCTCAAAGCTGACTATTTAACTGTGTGCTGAAAATAATGCTGTGGCTTTAAAATTAAATTTTAAAAAGGGTGTCTCATGAGTAGCCCTCTGTTCTGTTGTATATAGATTCTATTCTGTGGGTTTCTGATTCTTTTCCCCTCACACTTCCGGTAGAAGAGGTACATGACAACCAGAGCTGTTACACAGAGAGACCTTGTCGGGGGGGGGAAGAGGAAGAGATACATTAATATCAATTGTGTCCGCCTCGACATCTTTTTTTGTTTTCTTCTGTATTAGACGATGAATCCTCCTCTTCCCCCACCCCCTCTCCTGGCTGCCACTGTCCTCACCTCAACATCATCGGGCGCTGCCGCTGCTGCTGCTGCTGCTCCTGCTGGAGTAGGACCCAGGCCTGTGGCGGGATCCGCTGACCAGATTGCACATTTACGGCCCCAGACTCGCCCAAGTGTGTAAGTGAGGTTGTCTTTTGTTACTGTTTAAGTACTCACACCAAACGAAGCCCAAACAACAGAGATCAAGAAACACGTGACTGATATGAGCTGGTGGTGACGGGCTTAGAGCTCACCAAGTGTTTGTGTTCTGGAAACTTCTGCCTGGCTATGCATATAATTAGGAAGATGCTCCAATAAAATGAGGCTAACGTGAGCCTGGTAGAAGGCTGTCCTGCTGAGAAAAGGCCTTTCACGGTTTAGGGAAATTTCTGTTTTCCTCTGCATAGAGAGCTGATCTTTCTTTTTCTTTTTTCTTTTTTTTTTGTACCGCTCTTGTGTGACCTTTCTGTCTTCATTTTCATTCCATGCAGCAGGATCTTAAGGTGCAGGAAGGTATTGCATGCACGTCAGGGTTCCCTGCAATGAGCGTACAGAAGGCTGTAAATCCCCAGCAATAAGAAAGGTCCAATTGCCTTGTGCAGTTTGGTGATCTACACCCGGAGTGTTCCGAGCACGGGGAGCGCTGTAGGTCCGTTGCCTGCCAGGCTTCTCTGTGTGGACAGGCACCTTGCTCTGGGCGGCTGTTTTGTGCTCTCTATGACCTAGACTTTGCTGTCCCTTTGGCGCTTTCTCCAATGCAGTCAGCTTCGTGGTGAGCTCAGACACACAAGTGCGCCTAAGCCTCTGTGTTCAGCATACGTACAAGGCCGCATCTTGGGTTTCCCAGTGGGATTTTAAATGCAGGTCCTCATCTGGAGCTTGCTCCCAAGTCTAACCAGTGCCATTTAAAGAGCTCAGCTTCCCCAGTGGGCTCCTAACCCACAGCACTAAGGTAGGCTCTCTTGGAAAGGGCATTAATTCTTTCAAAGCACACATAGACCATCGGGTATGATAATCAGTCCCACACCAGGAGGGACACTCTTAATCAGAAGGGCCTCTGCCTGCGTTGAAAGTGTTGACGGCCAAACCTCTTCCCATGGAGACTTGCCATTGCTCCTTGCAGGTTAAGGTCTTACTTCCTGTCTGCTCCTGTATACGATGCTTGAAAACTTACACCACACAAGAGTTTGGACATCTTAGGGTTTGTCTGTTAGCCCGAGATCATTTCTTTTTTCCCCTGTTCCAGGTATGTTGCTATATACCCATACACTCCCCGGAAAGAAGACGAACTCGAGTTGAGGAAAGGGGAGATGTTTTTGGTATTTGAGCGTTGCCAGGATGGCTGGTTCAAAGGGACATCGATGCACACCAGCAAGATAGGTGTCTTCCCCGGCAACTATGTGGCTCCAGTCACAAGGTATGATGCTGCTGAATCAGGTTTTCTAAGTTCCAGACAGAGGCTCTTTGTTCCTCCCCAGGCTTCTCAGCCTATTCAGAGCCCTGCTCGAATTATAATTACCTGTTACATAGCCAAAGTTTGTAAAATCCATATCCATATCTGCTAAAATCCCTTCTAATACCAAGATTCTTAGCTCACTTTTCATGTGGATATGTGTTGAAATTATAGGTTTCTACCAGTCAATGTACTGGGGTGTAATCTCTTTGCTTTAATTTATATGTGAAAAGACTCAACTGTTCCATTTTCAGTATTCTTCTACTAAAGAAATAAAAGGCATAGTATTTTAAGTGAACAAAAGCTATATTATTAATGCTTACATGTCTGTGCAGTGTCTGCTATATACACCAGACAGGCAGATTTCTAAACATTACATTACTGGCCCTTGGTCTTTAATTCGCTAATGCGATTGCTTTTGATCATCCCCCCACTTAATAAATGGGGAAGTTGAGGCACAGGGAGACTAAACTTGCCTGAGATCACAAAGAAAAGAAGTACTCCAACCCACACAGGCTAGGTCTGCCTTTATTTCACTAACGTATTAATTACCTTAGAATTCTGGCAATTATTCTCTGAAATGCAGTCAAAATTCCTTAAATATAGCATACGTGGACTTTAAATGAAGATAGTTTTGCTCCTCAAGAGTTATTTGCCAATACCTGCACATATGTTTGAGTCTCGCAATTGATGATATTACTGGCATTTAGTGGGTGGAGGCAAGGGATTCTGCCGAATTCTATGATGTGTGGGATAGCCACACCCCCCCCCAATATCCTTTCTGTTGTTGGGATAGAATCCTCTGACCAAAAGTAGATTAGTGGGGAAAGGTTTATTTTTTTGCTTCCAGCTTCCCGTCCCGGTTCATCATTGAGGAAAGGCAGGCAGGAACCTGAAGGCAGGCAGGCTTCATTGCTATTCCACACAGTACCACACCAGCTGGGGGACTGACTTCATACCAAAGAAGCCTGGAAGGTACCACGATGGATACTGCTGGCTGGCTTGTAGACAGATATAAATGGAGTTATCTTTTCGTACAGTTCAGCACCACATGCCCAGGAAACTAGTCTGCCCACAGTAGTCTGGGCCTCCATTAACAAAAAAGGTAACTCCCCACACATATAACCACAGCCGAACTGGTCCAGGCACTTCCTCAACTGAGGCTCTCCTCTCAGATGCCCGTAGACTGTATCAAGTTGATAGTCAAAGCTAACCAAGATGTCCTCAAAAGGGAATCTGGCCCACGATGTCACTCGGGCTCAGAAACGTGCATGCATGCACGAACAAACACACACACACATGTTTACATAACTCTGCCTTTTTTTTTTTTAAGTGGTAGACCTTCTGGCCATTGAGGAAAGCAGCCTTGAAAGCTGAAAGAAATGACCTATAATGAAATTAACACTTCCCTAGATTTTGATCACTGACTCTTAATAAGCAATCCAGGTCTAACTGCGTGAAATCATGCCTCCAACCTCCTGATTTTAAACAAATGGCTTAATGAACTGACATGCTTGTCAGCTGTTGTCCTTGATTTATAGGTTGGCCAGCAGCCTAATCAAATGAAAATCACTATTGTTGCAGATGGTGACAGAATGTTAGCTTTAATTTGACTTGCAAATTTTTAATCAATATGAATTTTCTTTTCTGTACATGTTAAAACATACATTCAGAAATCCTTCCTGGTGCAAATGTTTATATTTATGTATATATTTATATATATACCTATACACAAAAATATACATATGTGTATTAAACAAGAGAAATATAATAAGCAATAATAAAAAATGAAATCAACAAAGGATCACATTTTTGCAAGATTCAAAAACAAGTTGTTAAAAGTCTGTTCACATTTAACTCTTGGAGAAAGACTTGCTTATGGCAGATGCTCTGTAATTCGCCATTGTGAAAGGATAATCTTGTTAATGGAGTGTTAATTGTAGATTAATTATAAAGTAGCTATACACAGAACTGCCATTTAAATGAGTTGAGAGTATTTGAAAATACACGTTACACAAAGCTACTCGATACTTGATTAAACTCTGCTAATATGTAAATGTTAGAACTGACTGTATTGCTGTAGCTGGGACAATGATGGAAGGAACCCTTGTGCACTGGTCTGGACGCCAGAGAATTTTTATGTCGGGAGTAGGTGTCAATAGGAGGCAGCTACTTGCATGAACTCACTGTAGCTCTATGGCTGTGTACTGAAGATCAAGCCAGCCCAAATCCCAGCATGGATGGGCTGGGCAAGGGGTAATGACCCCCAGCCCCAGCTGAGGAGCTATTGGCAATTGTTGATAGGAGAGGGAGAGTCCATTTTCTTTAGGGACACAGCCCCTTGGGGCTATCCGTGCTCCAGAAGATGGTTCTACAGTCATGCTTATAATGGGAATGCCAAGTGGGCTCAGTGGATTTAAACAAATAAACAGCAACAATCAAAAAACAAAAACAGCAGCAGCACATGAAGTTGGGACAGAAAAGTGGTTGGAAAGATAGGGGGAGGATTTGGAAGGGAGTGAGTTCCAAATGTGTTGTATGGGTGTATGAAATTCTTTAAAAAGTTAAAATAAAAGCATACCATATTTGTTAATCAAGAAAAAGTCAAGCTGTAATCACTTCATGGAGTATAAAGCCAGAAAGAAGGAAGCAATCTACAGGAAACAATTAAATTGTAAGGCTTAACTGGAAATGATTAGATCAGTGCTGGATCTTGAAGTTGAGATTTGAGCTACCTCAACAGAAAAAAAGCCATAAGGGCCATTCCAATGCATAGAGTGGAGTGTATGGGGGGGGGTATGTGTGGTATGTGTTGTATATGTGTGTGTGGTGTGTGTGTGTGTTGTATATGTGGGTGTATGTGCTGCGTGCGTATGTGAATGTGTGTATGTGGTGTGTGGTGTGTGTGTACATCAGTGTGTACAGGGCACTTGTGTACTGTGTGGTGTGTGTGTGTGTACATCAGTGCATACATGGGCACTTATGTACTGTGTGATGTGTGTGTGTGTACATCAGTGCGTACACGGGCACTTGTGTACTGTGTGATGTGTGTGTGTGTGTACATCAGTGTGTACACGGGCACTTGTGTACTGTGTGGTGTGTGTGTGTACATCAGTGTGTACACGGGCACTTATGTACTGTGTGGTGTGTGTGTGTACATCAGTGTGTCACGGGCACTTGTGTACTGTGTGGTGTGTGTGTGTGTACATCAGTGTGTACACGGGCACTTGTGTACTGTGTGGTGTGTGTGTGTGTACATCAGTGCATACATGGGCACTTATGTACTGTGTGATGTGTGTGTGTACATCAGTGTGTACACGGGCACTTGTGTACTGTGTGGTGTGTGTGTGTGTACATCAGTGCGTACACGGGCACTTGTGTACTGTGTGGTGTGTGGGGTGTGTGTGCATCAGTGTGTACACGGGCACTTGTGTACTGTGTGGTGTGTGTGTGTGTACATCAGTGTGTACACGGGCACTTGTATACTGTGTGGTGTGTGGGGTGTGTGTGCATCAGTGTGTACACGGGCACTTGTGTTCTATGCTAGAGGCAGCTTGAGACAGTCAAAGCAGGAACAGCATGATGCACATGGTGGGTGTTGCTCAGGGTGAAGCAGGAAAACTCCGGGCTTTGAACTTCAGCGGGGCTGAGTGTCCACAAAATGAGAAGCTGACCCTAGTCTCTGTATTCTTAGGCAGAGTGTGACGTGTGGTTTGATGACTCAGAGCAATTCCAAGACCATTCTCTGTCTCAGGGCCATCATTTCTTTGAATATGCTGTTCTTAAACCCTTGGGAAAAAAATAATTCCATTCATTTTTTAAGATGTTCTGACTTTAAAGCTCTGAGTCATTTTTCTTGCATTAATTGTTCTGTCTTCCACTTTGCTGATGGATTGGGTTTTCCATCTGCTTCTATCTTGGCAGGGCGGTGGCAAATGCCTCCCAAGCTAAAGTCTCTCTGTCTACGGCGGGTCAGGCTAGTCGCGGGGTGACTATGGTCAGTCCTTCGACTGCAGGAGGACCTACCCAGAAGCTCCAAGGAAATGGCGTGGCTGGGAATCCTAGCATGATTCCCACAGCTGTGGTGTCAGCAGCTCACATCCAGACAAGCCCTCAGGCTAAGGTCCTGCTGCACATGGCCGGGCAGATGACAGTCAACCAGGCCCGCAATGCTGTGAGGACAGGTAAGAGGGAGAGGGGACGGGAGCGCCAGAGGAAAGGGCTTACCTGAATAAACACAGGTCACGTGCGACGGGTGTTGACAAGAATAGGTATGAATTTAAAATAATGGCCACCATTGAGAACTAGAAACTAGCAGACACGTCACCAGGACCGCTTCACCACTGTGGCAGATGCCCATGACAGAAATAACCAATGGGAATGTTCCAGTGGCTGGCAGCCCCTATCACTGAAGGTCTGTGGTGAAGCAGAGCATAACAGAAGGGAGGGTTTGTGTTGGCCACAAAGCACAAAGAAAGGACAAAGACAAGATATACTGTTCCGAGATATGCCTCACTGACCTGCTTGTTCTAACCTGGCCCACCTCCTCATGGTCCAGTCATCATTCACTACCACCACTAGCTTCTGACCTAACCTTCAACATGTGAGGCCTTTCAAGGGGCATCTTATGTCCAAGCCATAACAGACGTTTTATATCCCTTTGCTTGGGCTAAGGATGCCCGGCACATTAGTTCAAAATGGATAGATTTAAATTCCAAGAAGAATTAGGCTGATCCTAAGAATGCGAGTGGTGTGGTACTTTCGCAGTCAAGATCTTGTCTCCAATCTCACGGTTCCTAGCTGTGTGACTATGGTGCGAGTCTCTGCTAAGCCTTGTGCTGGTTATTTTTGATGAACTTAGTCACAAGTCTATTTTGGACTCGACAGGCATTCAAGTGCCTTTTGCAATTCTGTAGCATTGAAAACCTACCAAGAGTCTTGGGTAACAATAGTGGAGTAAATGAAGCACACGTGAATTCTGTCAGAAAGAATGTGCAGAAAAATGGCTAGTAAAAAAAAGAGAGAGAGAGAGAGAATGTGTAGTAAGTCAAGGACTTCAGACTAGTGTTTGGTTTGTTGCCATGGCAAGCCATTGGAAACTGGCCCAGTGTCTGTAATGCTGTTGAAAATGATTGTTCATAACTGAAGGGCCTTGGGGGTGGTGATAGCATGTCTCCTAAGTCCTCAGCAGTCTCAACTGCTCACCTGGAAGGCAAGGATTGTCTAGGGATCCAGCGTGGGCCTAAGTGTGTTGAGCTCTTCTCCATCCACTCGTTTTTTATCGCAATAAATGCCGGCAGCGGCCTCTCATTATGGTCTGACACAGTGAGATGGCTCATGTTTTGGTAGGCCGTGTTTATTACGCCATTGACCCTTTCTGTGTTCCCTCCTGTCACCCACCAGTTGCAGCCCATAACCAGGAACGGCCCACAGCAGCAGTGACACCCATCCAGGTCCAGAATGCCGCCTGCCTCGGTCCTGCATCCGTGGGCCTGCCCCCTCATTCACTGGCCTCCCAACCTCTGCCTCCAATGACAGGTCCTGCTGCCCATGCTGCTGCTGTCAGCATCAATCGCACCAATGCTCCCCTGGCCTGCGCTGCAGGCGCTTCTCTGGCCACTCCAAGCATGACCACTGCCACCTTGGAGACCGAGCCCGGTGGTCGAACAGTGACCATCCTCCCTGGACTCCCCACGTCTCCTGACAGTGCTGCGGCTGCGTGTGGGAACAGTTCAGCTGTGAAACCAGACAAGGACAGTAAGGTAAGAGTCCTCACCAATGACGGGACTCTTGGTTCCTGAGTGTATCGGGTTCTTCCCGTGGGCAGGTTCATGTGCTGAGAGCACAGAGGTGCAGAAACCCAGCCACAGCCACAACCTCATATCTAGACCTTGTGTCTCTCTGCATTGCGAGTCCCCTCAAGCTGCCAGGCCGCCTGCTAGGTAGGTAACAGGGGGACCACAGTGAGTAGGATTTAGTAGACTTCAGCTTGTAGAATTTCTTCTCTCCCATTCACTCTTTTCATCATTTTGCTGGCCTCGGGTTTTCGTGTCCGGTGTTATTGCTTATCGGTGACTCCTTATTTTAAAGTGTTTTAATTGTGAGAGGTTACAAAGCGTCCATCAGAAATGTTATGTGCGGTCAGCCACATAAGTGCATTCCTGCACTTACATAGGACCCAAGTTCAATTCCTAGTGTTTACATCGGGTGGCTCACGACCACCTGTAATGCCAGTTCCCGGGGATCTGATACCCTCTTCTGACCTCTCTTGGCACTGCACAAATGCTTACACACACACACACACACACACACACACACACACACACACACACGACTAAAAATCAATTTTTAAAAATTTTAAGTTATTTGCAAATGTATTGTAGTTTCAACCATAAATTGGCAGGGTTCCTTGAGAGATAGGGCCTGAAATATAGGAGAGCAGTCTCCTTTGGGACTTGGTTTCAAATAAGTACAATGGAAGCTGTTTTGAAAGACTTCCCTGTGGTTGTGCTTGGAGACGGTGGTTGAAGCAAGAGAATAAAATGGGTAGTGATTAATCATTGATACAGCCTGGACGGTTATACCTCAGCTGTGACTTTTTGCTCAGGGTTCCATGCCTTTCCCATAGAGCTATGAGCCAGGGCTCTGAGCCACCTGGCTCAGTGATAATGTATGTCGCTCTACTTAAATGGCGAGAGAAGCCTGTAAATAGAACTTTATAAGGAAATAAACTTTATAGCCTGCTGACAGGTTAATATTTAATTAACTATTAACATGAACTTTAAAAAGAGATCGGTATCTGCTCAGTGTTTATAATTAACCATGTTAAACTTGTACTCAAACTGACATGTCTGACTTTGTATTTTCAAAGAATCATTTTAATGATTTGAACTTGGGCACAATGTCCTTGGTCACCTAGAACAAGGAAGGACTTTTGGGTCCATTAATAGAATTAATTGACAGGTACCCGTGGTGTACATATTAATGGCCCTAAAAGACGTCCTCCTCCTGGTCACAGGATCCACTCTTACTGTTTGTTGACTAACAAAAAGAACTTTGTGGACGAAAATAAATGAGGGCGGGTTTATCTTTTTGGGTGGACCCAATGTTCAGTACAGAAATCTTCCCGAAAGGGGACAGGAAGGCCAGGGCGCTTGAAATGGGGATAGGTAAAACACAGGCTGAATGATATCAGAAATACGACCCAAGCCATGGGATGCAGGAGGCTTCAAGGAGCTAGAGACAGAGGCCAGGAAACAGATTCTGCTTGTCCACCTGGAAGGTCTCCCTGCACCGTCTGGATTTTAGGATCTGGTTTTTCTTTTCCCCCAAAGTTTGCAACATTTTATTTCAGTAGCCTCTCGAATATAACATTGGCATCCCTTCGTCTGTCCATCACTGAAAAATGGCGATTGACCTCTTCTTGGACATTCCAGTGATTCCAAGGGCCCTGTCTCCAGATGATTTTCTTGCCCCTTCCAGTCAATTCTTAACTTAGCAGAAGTTCATTGAGCGTATAACTGCCTCACCATGTGCTCCCTTCATTTCCAGAGCCCTTAGAAGGGCTCTGTTTTACTACATGATGCCCTGAGGTGTTTTCAGAATTGAAACTGTACTCTCTCTTAGCCTTTCATTGGTTCCTCCTGTCACAGACTTCAACTTTCCCCTCTTAAACCTGCTCCAAAGTCACTGTAGACACTTGTGGTGGTATTAATTCAGTAAGTCTGCAACTACACATCACTTACACATACATGGCCACTCAGGACGGAAGCCTCACTTGGCCTGCTGCGTCATATCACAAGAGATGTCGCCAGGTGCCACTCAGAGACCCAATTGTTGCTCCATCCCTGCTGCTCCTATTTATAGGTAGTAAAGTCTTCTGCAGGAGTCCCCTCCCTAGAGTCTCATTTCCGCCTGTAAGTGCCTAGAAACCTTTTCTTTAATGCCATCCAAGAGTCACCCAGATGGTCTGCAAATTGCCATAGAGCAGCTATTAAGACCCATTAGAAAAAAACCTCCTGGTCAGGAAATAGAATCTTTAGCCTGCTTGGAGTCCTAACTTCCTAACTGGGTGGGTCAAGGGACCACCCCTAGAAAGGAGGGACGGCCCCTAGGAAGGTGGGCTCACCTTAAGTCATGATAAAGAGTTAGATGGAATTAACTAATTCCTTTAGTCAAATGCTGTGCTTTACCTTCCCAGAATTCCTGCCCCCAGCACAGTTCCTACAATTTGTAGTGAGGTTGCTATGAGGTTATATTGGGTGTCTTGACCCTTTTAACTCACAAAGGCACAGCTTTTCCTTTCTTTTTTTTCTGTCTCTTTCCAAGTATGCTTTCTCTGATTCTTCAAGCTTCCTTACCCTTTCTCTAAAGCCTCCCTCTCTTCCTTGTCCACCGTGTCTGACTTATAAGTCTGCTTTTTCCCCTTCTTCAGGCAGCTGCTGTGGCTACGGCTGGTCTGCCTGTTTTTCTTTCTTTTTTTTTTTTTAAGTTAGAAACAAGTTTGTTTCACATGCCAATCCCAGCTCCCTCTCCCTCCCCTCCTCCCCATCTCCCACCCAATCTCCACTCTGATCCCCGGGTAGACTGAGGCCCTCCATGGTGGATCTCCAGAGTCTGTCATGTCATCTAAGGTAGGGCCTAGGCCCTCCTTCAAGAGTCCAAGCTGAGAGAGCATCCCTCATTATGGGATGGGCACTCAAAGTCTATTTGTACACCAGTGATAAATCTACCCAAGGCCCCATAGATTACCTAGGCCTCCTCACTGACAGCCACATTCAGGGGGTCTGGGTCAGTCCCATGCTTTCCACACAGCCATCAACCTGGGGTCCAAGAGCTCCCCCTTGTTCAGGTCAACTGTTTCTGTGGGTTAAACCAGCCCAATCTTAACTCCTTTGCCCATCAGTTCTCTCTTTCTAACACTGGATTCCAGGAGTTCAGTTCAGTGTTTATCTGTGGGTATCTGCCTCTGCTTTCATCAGTCGCTGGATGAAGGTTCTGTTTCCTAGACTGGCAATGGGATTGTAATGAGTGAGTACATACCATGTTTGTCTTTTTGTGACTGGATTACCTTGCTCAGGATGGTTTCTTCTAGTGCCATCCATTTGCCTGCAAATTTCAAGATTCCATTGGTTTTTTTTTTTCCACTGAGTAGTATTCCATTGTGTAAATGTACCACATTTTCTCTATCCACTATTCGGTTGAGGGGCATCTAGGTTGCTTCCAGGTTCCGGCTATTACAAATAATGCTACTATGAACATAGTGGAGCAGATGCCCTTATTGTTTGTCTATGGCCATACCACCCTGAACACGCCCGATCTCGTCTGTGTTTTTCTTTTAATCTCTAATATAGTTGTCTTCAGGCTTCTGTTAAGCCAGTTCTTAAATTCTTTTGCTAATGAAACTAAGAACCCCAAGAGGAGAACCAGATTTCCCTGGTATCATCTGGTGACCACAAAGAACTACCCCCCCAAAAAACTTTATAACACCTCATCTCTTTGATGAGCTGAACATACTCATCTTTCCCTATGCAAAAGACCCTGAATTCAGATCCACCCAAATTGCTCAGAATTTATTAGTTTGCACTTCCGCTGTTAATTTTATCTGCGTGGAGGTGAGTCTGTTTGGATCTCTTCCCTTCCTCCATGTTAGGGTTTGGTCTCCCCTTCTGGTATGCATGTTAACCTCCCCTTTCTTCCTCCTACCTAAGAGCCGCTGTTCACCCCGGACAGGAGGTCTGTGTTCTTTTTGTTTCAGATGTAATGTTAGACTTAGTCTTTTAATTTTTATCCCTTAGAATTTTCGGGAGCTTAAACTCGTTCTGAGTTTGAGCCTCCTTGCACTGCTGTGGGCCATGCCTTGTTCCTCGTGATGTGCCTTCCCCTTGATCTCTTTGTACGTGGCCTTTAAGACTTTTCGAGCCCATTGTGCCATACCTCGGGGGGCTCACATTTTCATCCGCAGGATAATTTGCAATTGTAGAATTTCATTCATTTTGAGGATCCTCCCATTCCTCTTCCAACAGTTTTCCCTTTGAACTTCGGGCTGTGCGTGCATTTTCTTTAAAACTTTTAAAAATCGGTTCTCTTCAACTTTATCACGAGCCTCTGTTCTTTCAACTTTCTTCTAAGTTCTCCGAATTTCTGCCTCTTTGGTTTCTTAACGTGCCCCCCCCCAACCCGGAGTTGATGAGAATTAGAGTTGAAGATGCAGTCGGCTCTGCTTTCTGTGGGTAGTCTATAGGGGCGTTGAAGGGGAAATGAGTAGGAGATGGACATGGAAGTTTGGGTTGAGGCTTCGGGCAGCTCTCTGGGTGTCTGTAGTGTGCTGTCCTCTGCTCCTGTCTTCCCATCGCTTCCTGTGTCGTCACCATCTGCTACGCAGAGTCTGAGGAATTCTCAGATGATGGCTTAGGCATACCTGCTGCCCTGGGGACGGTGTAGCTCTCCAGACCCAGATTATCAGTGGGCCGCCACCGGCTAACCGCTGTAGGAATCACGTTTGGATGGATATGATTAGTTGTTTTTTTTTTTTTTTAATCTGGGAGTCTCCGCCCACAAAAATCTCAGGTCAGGGAAACAAGATGCTATAATATTGTTCTGGAGTCAAAACCCTATCCAGCTTTGATTTAATTACTTTATTTGATGATAAGCTCCTGAGTTGTGTTTTTAAATATCATCTCTATTATGCCCTACTGGAAGTCCCAACCCTGTCATTGCTATTCCTCTGTGCATGGTATTCCTGGTCCCCTCCGTAGCCACCGGTTCACAGCTTTGCCTGGGTACTTTTCTTGGGTTTCTCCCGCCTTTGTCCTCTAATGATGAGACGCTGCACAGCCATACCCAGCTTTTCCCTGTTACTGGGCTTCTAACTCAAGTCCCCATGTCCACACAGCAAGAACTCTCCCCATCTGAGCCGTATCCCCAGCGTCAGACATTTTTCCAGCAGTGAGCACACAGCCACCACTTAGTGCCTCCGATCCCTCAAGCCCCTCGTGCCTGGCGATTGTCTCCCTTAGGAGACCTCAGGCTTCTGGATCCACACTTGCGCGTGAAGACCTTTCCGATAATCATCACACAGAAGAGTCTGTCACTTTTGTCATCTCCTCTGCCCGCCTTCCTGGTTATTTTCTTTGCCCAGGTGATTTTCATTCTTTCCAGTTCTGTTGTGCTATCCAAGGCAAGCATGTCGGCATGCCTTGTCATGGAACTTTCTTAGGGATCTATAAATGACCACATCCCCTGCCTCTGCTGGGATCCAGACCTGGTCTTCAGAATGTCTGCCTGTGTGGGAGGTGTGGGAATGGGGGGGGGCGCTCTTACCATTCCACAGAGTAGAATCTCATTTCTACCCCTTGCTAGCACAGTGATTTTGGGCAGGCTTTCAGAGCTTCAGGCAACGGGAATAATTAATTCCTACCTCATCAGGGTGCTGAGAAGACTAAATATGGAAATCCCCCTGCTAGCATTTAACAAGACTTGAAGCTGGTGGTGTTTAGTCATCCCTAGCATTTCAGGAGACTTCCTTCAAGAAGCCTTTCCTGCCCCCACTGCCCTCCCATACCCCCCACTGCCCTCCAGACTCATCCCTCCCCTTGCCTGGTTCTTGGGCAGAGGGCCTCTTATGCAGCCATGCCTGTGGCTGCCAGACACAAGCTTTCCCAGAGCGGAGCACATGGCCGGCTTCATGTTGGACACTCAGAAATATTTGCTCCAAGTATGAGAGATTTGACCACGAGGCTGATTGTTTATTTGTTGTTGTTTTGTTTTGTTTTTGAGATTCCCTACCTAATTGTTGAATTGTTGACCTGTGGGCCCAGGAAGACTCTTGCTAATTCCTCCATGTACCTTAAAGAAAAGGAAGGATGGGAGGGAGGGAAGGAAGGAAGGAAGGATGGATGAAGGAAGGAAGGATATAGGGAGGGCATGTTGTTAATTTTGAGTTGCTTAAAATATTTTGCTTGTGAAAGAGCCCAGGTGTAATGTTTCCTATACTGTACTCATCTTTTATTATTTATCTAGTAGTGGGAATTAAATAGATGATCCGGTCTCTCTGTTTTTATCTGTGCCTCCCACCCCACCCCTACCCCCACCCTGCTGCCATGGGTGTTAGGGACTGACTCAGCACTCTCACTTGTCACGAAACTGCCCTGTTGAATTGTATGCTTGGCTTTGTTTCGTATGCATAGAGGTGTGTGTGTGTGTCTGCGCAGGCGCGTGCTTGTGTATGTAGGTGAAGGCCAGGCATCAGTCTCCAGTGTTGCTCCTCAAGAACTGTCTACCTTGTTTTTGAAATTTGATCTCTGGATCTTTGATGGGCACAGGCCTTGCTGAAGGGCTGGGTTGACCTTCAGCTTCAGAGAGCCAGCCGTCTTCACCTTCCAGACCACCTTGCTCAGTTTTTTACAGACCTTCTGAGAACTCCTCTCATCTTCTCATGCCTGTGTGACCAGTGCTTCAGTAACTGAGCTGCTTTCCCACAGCTAAGTTGTTTTTTGTTGGGAGACTCAATGTGAACAGGCCAGCCTCCGACTTGGGATCTCCCTGTTATCAGTTTCCCAAGCCGCTGGGATTTCAGGAGTGTGTCACCAAATCCAACAAGAAAATATTTCGCATAGAAAAGTAACTCTGGCCATCAGCTTATTGATTTTGGATCCAAATAGTTCCTTTTTCACATGTGATACTGTTTTAAATCATATCTGAAATGTTTCTAACAACATCATTTCATCTAACAATGACTTCTAGGTAACCCCCCCAGAGATGAGTTATTGAGGTTCCTCAGAAAAGATATGCCCCATTTTTCATATATGCTAACATTATTTTCTCCAGATTACTTTACCAAAGTGTAGACTATTAATTCTTCTATGTTTTCCATTTGTGCTGTTGGATTTTGAAATAAACAAAGGTGCCCTTGGATAATAAGTGTGTCTGAACTTGCAAAGTTATTTCTCTCCAGTGACACATTGTTCTTCTAATACAGCATCAGAATATGATATAAATAGCACAGTTCCTCATCTTTCCTGTGTTGGCTCCCTACCTCCTAACTTCTGCACCCCACCATGGTTTCTAATCCTCTGCCTTCTGCTCCATGGGTAGTCGACATCAGTTGATGATGATAACACACCCCTTAGAAGTCATTAAGGCAAGTTGTGTTTAATGCGTTTAATCATTTTCAATGAACCAAGTCATCTTTCTTCTTAATCACTTTAGAAGCTGCTCCCTGAACGCAAGTCACTTATCTGATACTCTTCTGAGTGCCCAGATCTGGGCTTTTAAGTAGCATCTTTATCCTTGGCTTGCTGAGGTTGTAATTTATCAGTGAACTTGATGTTCTCAACCAATCTGTGGGGTCTGGGGATTAGATGGTGATTTCTCATACCGTAAGAAGAATAGCCAGCTGCATCTGGCAACCTTAGAAGTTGAAGCTACCAGACATCCTCTCTCTCCCACCACAGATGGCTCCACAAAGAAGTATTGCCCCAGAATTGGCGATCAGGCTATCGACCACTGTCTTACTTCCTCTGGATCCGGGAAACCCAAAACACCCCACCCTGACGCTATGGCTATTTTCCATTCCTTCCCTTTATCTTACTCCCTTGCAATATTTTCTTTGGCCTCTCCACATCAGTGGTGTCCTACTGAGTGAGATGCAGAGGTCTGCATAATTGTCCCTACACCCAGGCAGGCAGTCCAAGTTTGTGGGGTCATTTATTGGAAGGCGCCTTGTTGCACCTCAGAAAATGTGACATCCAGTAAGAGAATGAAGCAAAACCCAGCAAGACGAGCTGAGACCAGATGAAAAAATGCAAAAGGCTCATCTGGGTGTGGGGGAGGGGTGAGGAGATGGCGCTGACAGCCTGGAGATAGATGACCCTTGCACCCACTCCTAGCCCCTCCCACACTTTGATTTCCTGTTTCTGGCCCATGGAGTACCACACGCCCTGAGCAATGTTTATAACTGGAGACTGTGTGGTTTCTCGGGGATCTTGGCTCATCATCGAATAACGGCTGCTCTGGGCTCCTCCTGTCTTCTGCCATTCTGTCTCTAGTGGAATCGTGTTATTGTAGACAGAAACTCATTCCCCAAGGAGGGGTTTTATTGGGTCTGTCTAACTCATATTACCAAGAAGAATTCCTCAGCGTTACATATTCTTTGGAGCCTTTATTCCGTATCTGTTAGTGGGCTTTAATTCTAAAGCAACACTTCTCCATGAAACATGTCATTTTCAGGCAGGCAGTGTTCCTATTCAGAAGACATTATCGCATCATTGACATCTCAGTAAAACAGTTTCAGAGATCTGATGATGACAGTGTTAAACCCGGTGACTGGAAAGGATAGTGGCAGATTTGGTGAATAAAGTAGTTAGCTCAACATCTGGCTTTCTTTGGAGAGCAAAAAATAAAGGAAAGTGTCAAGAGACAGATTAGGAATATGGTTTTCAGAGCATGAGCCTATTTGCGGATGGGGCGGTGTGTGTGTGTGTGTGTGTGTGTGTGTGTGTGTGTGTGTGTGTGTGTGTGTTGTATTTGTTTGCGCGACAGAAAAACAAAAGGCATGAAGATGCCAGCGCACTGAGACTGTCCTTAAAATGTTGTGGTCCTGCTTCAGGGTTTGCAATCAAGGAAGTACTTTCACAGTAGGAATGGGTTGGCTCCTGTCACTGTGGCTGCTTAAATTTAATCAAGGCGGTGACATGTAAGAAGTGCTCCAGCTCTTGACTCTGATTGGGGTGTCGTTCCCGAGAATGATAAGGCTCAGACGTGTTGATATGGACTTGAGTGGCGTCAGGCTTCCATTAACTAAGGATGCAGTTGACTCACATACAAGAACCAGGGACAGGCAGTATTTCAAGAAGTTAAACTCGTAATCTGACATTTCCACTTTATTCTGGCCTATCTATTTGTGCTTCCGTTGACTGTGTTTAGTGTGTGCGTGTGCATGCATGCTCCCGGGCCGCAGTACCTGTGTGGATGTCAGAGGACAGCTGTAGCCCTTGGTTCTCTCTCCCACATGGGGTGTGGGGACAGATCAGCTCTCCCCACTTGCTGGCAGGCTCCTTAACCCACGGAGCCATCTCACTGGCTACTTGTACTTTTATCAAAGTAAAATACAAATTGGTTAAAAAAAAATGTTTTACACCTTTTTAATCTGTTTATCTTGCTGCCCCAGTAGAAGATAGCCATGAACAAGAGAATGTCCAACACAGACAGAAACAGGCAAGCAGAAAGGGAGAAGTAGTAACAAAACGTCAGGTTAACTTTACACAAAGACTGCCCAGAAGGTAATGTGTGAACCGTGATGGAATCAAAAAGTGGAGATTACAGGAGCCACACGATTCTGACCTCCAACTAATATCCGTGTTTCTCTTTTCCAGAAAGAAAAAAAAGGTCTCCTGAAGCTTCTCTCTGGCGCCTCCACCAAACGCAAGCCCCGAGTCTCCCCTCCAGCGTCACCCACCCTGGACATGGAGCTGGGTGTAGGGGAGGGGCCCTTGCAGGGAGCAGTGGGGCCTGAGTTGCCGCTAGGGGGCGGCCACGGCCGGGCGGGCTCCTGCCTCACAGATGGAGATGGCCCAGTGGTCTCTGGGACAGCAGCCTTAGCCCAGGATGCTTTTCATCGCAAGGCGAGCTCCCTGGACTCAGCAGTGCCCATCGCTCCACCACCTCGGCAGGCCTGCTCCTCCCTGGGTCCCGTCCTGAATGAGGCCAGGCCTGTTGTTTGTGAAAGGTGAGTGAGTCCCTGTCCTCTCAGAGAGAACTAAGAAGGGAATAGCAAGCTTTAGGCTGGACATCGCATTCTGATCTAGAGGAGATAATCTTCTAGAAGACCCTACAAGTTCAAGCCAAACTGGTGATGACATTCAAGCTCCCGCTTTGCTACAGCAAGCCGCTCACCCGACCTCCTTCATTACCTGCCAACACACTGGCCTTCCCTCTATTTCCCAGTCAGTGGGCTCCAGATTGATCAACACATGCCCATCACTGTCTAATCTAATAGCCCTCAACCTTCCTAATGCCATGACGCTTTAATACAGTCCCATGTTGTGGTGACCCCCAACTATAAATCTTTGTTGCTACTTCATATCTATAATTGTACTCCTGTTGTAAATCATAATGTAAATGTTTTGGGAGGTGGAGGTTTGCCAAAGGGGTCAAAACCCACAGGTTGAGAACCACAGGAATCCTTTGCTTTATTAATAGCTTACGCCACTCCCCACTGGAGGTAAAGCACCCAGACCATTGTGCCACCCAGAGGATTTTTTTCCCTGTCTCCTGAGCCAGAAGAACACAGTGTAGGTTCAGGTGGCGCTCCTTGTTCGTACACTCAACATGATAGACTTTTATTAGTGATTCTGGCTTTGAACAGTGCTTACAAGTGGGAATTCTGTTTCACACAGCCGTGGGAGTCTAGCATGTGTTAGGGAAGAAAATGTACTTAATAAGATACTTATCTACCAGGACTATAAAAACTGGAGAGCTAACGACTGCTCATTGTCGAAGAAAACGTCATGCAGTCCATTCAAATTACTGTTCTGTTTTCATACGATGTAGACACTTAAGCCTCATCCGTTTGTTCCTGTACAAGCTATTCTCTCTAGACTTGAATGTTGAAGTTTCTAGTTTTTAGAGGTGTAGTTATGACGTCTCCTCGTGTTGCCCTGGCTGGTCCCGAACTCAAGTAGCCTCCACCCAGTCCTGCCACGGTGGCTGGCTAGCACTATTGGGGTGCCCCACTGTGCCTGACTTTATGTGGTAGATTGGAGAATTCACGTGAAATGCTATCATTTAAAATGACTTAGGCTCGAGAGGTGACTTAGCTGTTAAAAGCAAGCACTTTTCTTATAGAGGACCCAAGTTCAGTCCCCAGCCCCAGATCAACTGGTGCCTCTCACCTCTTCTGGGACCTGCATTCGGGCACACACACCATTACACAGTCTCACACACACATAAATCTTAAAAATAATAGTCATGACAAAAATCACTTAAGTTCACATTTCCTTTGTATTTCAAATGGAACTATATGATCGTGTTTATTGAAGCCTCATGATTTCGAGGCACATTTTCAATAAGAAGTAAACTATAAAAGCAGAGGGTAAACATCAAATAACCAGTGTTTATAAAGTACTATATTATGGGTTTTCACAAAGAGTTAAAATGATTTTCTGTAGTTCTGACTGATATAAAAACCAGTTTTGAAATGACACATGACCCTAAAAATGTACACACACGCACACACACACACACGCACACACACACACCTGCACACAGATCCCTCTGGATTTCTCCTCAGCCATTGTGTTCTTCGGAAAGCTTTGAAACCGAGTCCCTCTCTCACACTCTGATTCTGGAGTCTGCCTTTCTCCTGCGGAGCTCTGCCACTGCTTTCCAGGGACAGCACAGCCTCTTGCCCCTGGAGCTAGCCCAGTTAACTCATATGCTCGCTTCTAGTCAGTCACCGAGGTCCCCGCTGTTCCTCCAGGCCTTCATCTGCAGTTTCCCTCCCGCCCTGGGGCCCTTTACTGTCCCTGCTCCTCTGTGGAATCCGTGTAACTGGAATGATGGTCCGCTTTGCCCACATCTCCCTAGTCCCTGGCTGGGCACCGACGCCTCATTGCCACCCCCATTATGCATTCCTTTTCAATCTCCAGATGTCCCCAATCTCTGTGGCTTCTGCATTCCTGCTGTTTCTAAGAGCGGTCTCTGCCTTTTAGGCCATCTGAAAAGAGAGCTGCTAACCAGACAGGTGAAGGCGTTTGGGGAGGGAGGGAGCGCATCAGACAGGGAACATGAAAAACGTAATGATGGGACAGATGGACCCGGGCACTCTGGAAATCTCTGGCAGGTTTTTATATCGCCATTTCAATTTTTAGGAGAGAGAAGGGGGTCCTTAGGAAAAATTTCAGCCCAACTTTATATTTTTATAATCCATATGCTCAACGGAATATTAAATGTAATGGCCAGCCTCAGCAACCTTTGCCTTCGCACAGTGCTGGTGATGGTATTTATTTAGCTTGGATGCTTAAGTCTGCCTGACTGTAAAAACAATGGGAAAGTGCTCTGTTAGCTGAGGGGGGTGGGGGGTTTGGGTTAATAGAGACCTAGCAAGCGTTTCATTTAGAGATTACCTGTTTGCGTGTTTCGAAACTTTCAACACAAATGGAGGAAGGGTGACCCAGGACGCACTTGAAGTGCTCTGTCCCTTTGCCCACAGGGTGCACACCAGCCCAGGGTTCCTCATGTGGGACTTGGTCTGAGGGACTCTCATGACAACGTGTTTCAGGGTGAGGCCGAGGCAGAGTGAGCCCACATTCATCCAGGGGATACGGCAAGAGCAAGTAGGGGAGTGGGTAAAGTTAAAAAAAAAAAATAGCGTCTGAGGCAGCCGTCAATGGGGGAAGGAGCAGTCACATGGCGGTGTGAGGAGGCACCGTCTCATAATGAGGAGGGATGAACCTTGAGGTGTGTTGACAGGTCTTGGTGCGAGCTGAGAGAAATTCTCCCGGGGAACAAAGGGATTCTTTTGTGCTTGTGAGAGAAACTGCTGCAAGCAAGAAATAGAATGGTACCCTGGAAGCGGAGGATCTGTAGTTGACGACAGCGCAGATAGCAGAACAAATATTTCTAGGCTCTATTTTAGAGGGATGGAGGAAAAATAATTAGGAAATTGCAGAGTGAAAGTAGAAATAAAATATTTTAGAAGATGGAAAATAAAAGTACGTGTGACTTGACGCACGCACGTGCGCGCACACACACTCACACACACACACACGTTTACACAGATGGCTTAGAGAAGTATAGCAAGTCCATTTTACCTGTGTGTATTTTTAAGTTTAAGAATTAAAGCAGTAGCCACATACCCTAAATTGGGAAAGAACCCATGGTCTTTGTTCAGGGATTAAACAAGCACTCTTAGAAACATACAAATTGGATAGTGGTAGATTTACTGAGAGGCAGTCGGGCTTAACCAGCATGATTAATTTCTTTGAGTCAGTGACAATGAACCCACTGGGTGAAGCAATGGACATAATTTATTTGGACCTTGCACATGATACAAAGCCAGCTAGTGTGGTTTTGCCAGTAAAATACTTAATTGGATCTTAGATTGCTGTGGCGACCGGCAGGAAGCAGTAAGTGGTAACTCACACAGACCGGGTTGATAGAGTGCTTCTCAAAGTCACCGGGGGACTCATTGCAGTCATATGAGGGCAGATTGGAAATGACAGCATGGGAACTACAGACAGGCAATGAAGGCAGGGAAAAATAAAATTAAAGAACAAACCGAAGGCTGCCGGTTAGGATGCTATGACCCAAACGGGAAGTGTGTCGTTGTCTGTAGGGTACCTTCTTCATACAACAACAAGAGTCTTTCTCCTTCTCCATCCTTGTGCCTGTCATAGCCTCCTAGAGGTTCAGAGTAGAAACAAACCACACCCAGTGTGCTTTGTTCAAAGGGACCAGTGTCCTTTCCCATAGCCAGAGGGCTCGTCATCCCTTCCCTCTCCTCCCCCACCCCTCCCTCCTTTCTCTCACACCCATACACACACACACACACCCCAGACCCCTGCTGTCTTGCGTTCCTTCACTCTCTGTGGGTCTTGCCCCTTTTACTAATGTTTCCATTATCTTTAGTCATTGATTCCTCTCATTTTCTTTAATTGTGTAAAATAGTGTTAACCCACAGTCAGATATAACGAAGAGAGTGAGAGACTCTGAACACTCATCCTAGATGAGCTGTCTTCATCAAATCCCTCCCACAGGGCTCGGGGAACCCTGCAGAAGTGGAGGCAGAAAGAGTTAAGCCAGAGGGGGTAGAGGACAGCAGGAGAACAAGGCCCCCAAATCAGCAGGAGCAAGCTCCTGTGAGCTCCCAGGGCCTGCTCGCACCTGCACCAGGTCCTCTGCATGTATTTTATGGCTTCCAGCTTAATGTTTTTATGGGACTCCCGATTGTGAGAACTAGTGGGACTCTGATTCGTGTGCCTTCTCTTGGGTTCCTTTCCTTCTACTTGTTTGTGTTGTCCAACACCAATGTGATAGTTTTTGTTTTATCTTATTATAGTTTGTTATATTGTATTATTATCCCTCAGAAGCCTGTTCTTTTCTACTGAGACACAGGGAGTGGACCTGAATGAGAGGGGAGGTGGGAAGGAACTGGAAGTAGATAGACGGAGGGAAAACTGTAATCGGAATATATTATGTGAGAATAGAATCTATTTTAAGTAAAAGGAAAAATAAAACGTAGTTAAAGTTTGCCACTATCCAAGAGTGAAATCAGATGTGCTGGGTGTCTCTACATTCTCACCGTCCATCTCTAGAAATGTTTCTTCATCCCACACTGGAAAACTGCATCTTTCACATCTCCCCGTTTCTTCCCCATCCTGCAGCCCCTGAAGAAACCATTCTGTTTTCTGTCTGCATGATGGTTCCTTAGCAGTAGAGTCATAGAATGGCTTGCCTTTTTCATGTGGCTTACTTCCTCCATGCTGTGGCATACCTCAGGATTTCATTTGTGTTACGGAACATGGTACATTTTTTTTTTAATGCTTGCTATGTGATTAGCTCTCTTAGTCACTGGATATACTCGATAAGAATCATCTTATGTTCTCCACTTGGTCGCGTGAGGCGGACAGAGGGAATTTGGCATCGCCCCACAAGCGGGGAACACAGATGGTAAAAATCCAGGGTGGACTGAGCTGAGTGCTGCGAGAAACACACATGGGGTCCTCTGGGATTTAGTCAAGCATGAAATGACTTCCAGGTACGGGGCCAGAGGTTTTATGGAGGGAGATTTGGAGCCAGATCTTGAGAGATTGATAGGGCATGGATGGAGAGAGATATTGTCAAAGCAATTCCCCATGCAAGGAGCTGCGTGAGCCAGTACGTGGTGTAGGACAGGTGAGGCTCCGCTTGAGGAGACATATTGAGGCTTCAGGGAGTGTTTAGAATGTCTGTGATGAAGAGAGCAGCTATAGCCGTAGAGCAGGATCAAGGGCAGATCGTTGAGGGCTTTGTGTGGCAGCGTGAGGATTACCCTGACAGACGTGAGAGCCTGCTAATTATTTCTCACAATGGGGACCTACAGGTGGAGTCTCGTAATAGAAATCTTAGAGTTGTGTGTGGAATGGGTTGGGGACAGGAAGAAATCCGATGCTAGAAGAAAGGGCATGGGACATAGTGAGGTCATCAGCCAGGATGACCTTGAAGAGAAAGGATAGGGTGCTGGCTTTAAAGGAGGCTCAGCAGGTGCCACAGCCGGCGCAGAGAACGTGGCTTTGGTTCAAGGTGTCCAGAAGAGCCCAGGATCTCTATTCCCACAAAGGCAAGCATAAATCCAGCGAGACAGAGGGCAGGGCAGCAGACGTAGGCCTCCACAGCTGTGTCGTACATCTGTTTGCTGGTCTCTGTAAATGTTCTGCTTGGCAGAGCTCTTTGGTGCCTGAGCTCACCGGGCTATCCTGCCAGCATTTGGCTTTTCGGGGTCTATGTGAGAAGTCTCAGTACAAACCACCCCACAGGGCTCAAGGCCAAGGGCTGAGCTGGAAGGCTTCTGAGTAGAGTCTGTCACTGCTGCACCTGGTAGTCCTCACATGACGATGACTGTGTCACAGTTTCCATTATGCACGGGGTTTCTCACTCCACCCCTCCCCCTCGAGGTCTATAACTTAGCAATGAAAATTTGCTCCCACTGGGAACTTGGCAGGAAGATAATGTTCTTAACCCAGCAGCCATTCTAGCTCTGAATTCTCTGGCAAAATTGGTTTAGTGCATTTTCGTAAAATGCAAATATTAATCTAATTCGCTTCGAGTTTTTCAAACTACTTTTGTTCCCTTTCACCTTAAAGCAGCTTGCAGACTGTCAGTCAGAAATGCGTCTCATGAGAGATGTACTTGGAATATGCTTTCATTCGGTGGTACATTCTCCTCTAAGACTGACTGCAAAGCTTTGCTTAAATTTTAACTCGCCCCAAATGGCAACTACATCATTGCTTTTTTATGTGGATTTTTAGCCTGTTGGCATCAGACCTGAGAAATCACATCTGGGTCCTTCCTTGAGATCAGCCCACAAATGAAGTTGTGAGTTTACTTTTAAAGATGTCAGTGAAAGGATTCCAATGCTCTATGTCGTTCTAAAGTGCGTGAACTCTCAGTGTCGGGATTTTCCTTAGCTTGTGGCCTGAGTTCATCTGTTAGTTATGGGCTGGCCCAGGCCTTAAAAATTCCCCTCCAGTCCCCTGGGTACTCTTGAGTAAGCCACATGCTTGAAAGTAGAAGCTGACATTCTGGGGTGGAACTCTGTGTGTCACCATACTGAAGACATCACTTATAATCTCATTCTGCTGCTTGTGAAATATATTGCCTATATTGTAGGCCCATTTCCCAGTCGAGGAAACTGAGAGCGTGTTAACCGGCTGAAAGTTAAGATGCTCTGAGTGACCATGAAGACTGTCAGTTCCCCTCCCCCCACGGCCCATCTCTTCCCCTGCTCTGCACTTGACTGACCTGTCTGTAAATTCTCATGTCTGAGTTGGCTACACCTTTCTTGGAAAGGTTGGACCAACCTAGCGCTGTGCTTTCGATGCGGACTTCAGAGGGTAAACTGGTCCCGGTGCCCCAGGGAGCAGAGTAATGGTTGGGCAGCTGCTTAGCTTTTGTGAAAAATGAGACCCCTTGCTGTGATCTTCCCTAATGTGGGTAGATTCTTGCTGCTATGGGGTGGGGATTGGGGACTGGAGGAAAAACCAGGCTGTACAGATGCTCGCTGGGGTTGGAGGGTCCAGGTTTAAGGCGGCTCCTTCCTGTGACTGCTGACTCATTTGGGGAAGAAGCTTCAGTTCCTTATGTGGCGTCCTCCTTAGGGGGGGGGTCCAGTAGCCTCCCTATCTTTCCTATCTTCAGTCACCTAGCCTCTGAAATCACACTGCCACAGGACGCCCCTATGCAGCGTACAAGGCAGCTATGTGAGCTCGAGAGCAGCGGAGGCAAGGGTGACCGAGAAATGGCTGCAGTATACCACCACCACCCACTTTGACTGAGAAAGCAAGCGGGGATGGAGGCCGAGGCTACTCGATGCCAATCCACAAGGCTGCTAGGGAATCTAAGCTATACCTCTTTCCGCTCAGCATCTGAGTCGGGAACCGAGGACAAGCAAATAGGTTGGGACTAATGGCGGCTGGAATGTCAACATCATGACTGGGGGTGGTGGACGAAATTTGAACCCACAGTTCTCTACTCTCGGTGTGGACCTTGGGACCTTCTTCTCAACAGGGGATGAGCCATGTAAGGCAGGCAAACTTCCAAAGAACCTCTGCCTCCTGGATATCAGGCTCAGTATAAGGATTCCGAAGGTGTCCCTCCAGGTCTATACCCAGGCAGCAGACCTGGCATCCCGCCTACCCCAGCTCATAGTGGGAAGGCAGGACAGAGCCCACACAGCCTGTAGGAAACAACTCGTAGATACCATGAGCTCCAAAATCGAATCTACTCGTCTCTTCCTGGAGTAGAGGGTAGGACAGAAACGGGTCCCCAACTAAGAGTCATACAAGGTTGGAGAGATGGCTCCGAGGTTATGAGCACTGGCTGCTTTTCCAGAGGTCCTGAGTTCAAGTCCCAGCAGCCACGTGGTGGCTCATAACCATCTGTAATGAGACCTGGTGTCCTCTTTTGGCGTGCAGGCAGAGCACCACATACACAATCAATCAATCAATCAATCGATAAATAAGTAAGTAAATTTAAAAAAATAAAGAGCCGGGCGGTGGTGGCGCATGCCTTTAATCCCAGCACTCGGGAGACAGAGGCAGGTGGATCTCTGTGAGTTCGAGGCCGGGCTGGGCCGATAGCCTCCAAAACAATACAGAGAAACCCTGTCTGGTAAAAACCAAAAAAAAAAAAAAAAAAAAGAATCCATACAAAACATAGCCTTCGATATCTTTGATATGACCAAAATACAAATACTGGAAATAGACAAAAGTTTTCTCCCTTGTGTGGGCAACTCAGCCATACCAGCCTGGCCGTCACTAGTGGGTTGAATCGAATACTCAGACTCGGTCTTTGTTAATGCCAAGCTACAACCGTATTTCAAGTCTTATGGTCGTTTGTAAATTCACGAATAACTCCTGCAGACTGGCGGTGCGTCGTTTTTAACTGATCATCTGAAGAGTCTGCTTCTCTTTTGTAGGCATAGGGTGGTGGTTTCCTATCCTCCTCAGAGTGAGGCAGAACTTGAACTCAAAGAAGGCGACATCGTGTTTGTTCATAAAAAGCGAGAGGATGGCTGGTTCAAAGGCACGCTACAAAGAAACGGGAAGACGGGCCTTTTCCCGGGGAGCTTTGTGGAAAACATCTGAGGAGACGCCACGCCGAGCCAGGGTGCCATCGCACCACATGACTGAAGAGCACAAAGCAGCGTCGTTAGGAAGAGCACATCCATGGACTCCCAGATCTTCAGGAGCTGAGCAAGGACAGGCACTCCGGAGCCCCGGTGGCAGAGTGAAGGCGGCGCCAGTGTGGGCCCCGCCCCCTCGGGGTTCTGATGTGTAAAGTGTGCCTTGTGCTGTCTAATGGGCTATACAGAGAAATGTCTTTTTTTTTTTTTAAAGATGTATAACTAAAATGGACAATTGTTTACACGGCTTAACTAATTTATTTGCCTTTTTTTTAAAACTTGAACTTTCTTGTAATAGCAAATTCTTTGGATTATGATTTTTAAAAACTATTAATTTATGAAATGATGGCTAAGGAGAAGCTGGGTTCTCTCCCGTTGAGAGCAGGAGATTCTTTTTGACGTAGAATGCACCCCCTTCCCCTGCTCTCGGTCCCCTTCCCCCCAGTTATATTTTGCTTCTTTGAGACAAAAATGTCAGTTTTCCAAACAGACGACTGACTCGGTTCCAGCCTGGGGTGGGGAGACTCCCGGCTAGAGATGTTAGTGAGTCCCCATCTGTCTCCTCCGTTCAGAGACCAACCCCAAGCCCTAATCCTCGATTTCATTTTGTGGGTCTTTTCATTTTCCCGGAACAAAGTGGGTGAAGTAGGAAGGAAAATAAAAGCACAACGTTGACTAAAAATACACGTATTTGTGTGCTGACACAAGCAGTCCGGTGTGTTGGCTGGGAAGTAGGAGCAAGTTGAAGTTGTAGTCGCTGTGTGTGAATGACTTTGAAATGTAATCCCCCCTTTTACCCTCAAGTGGTCTGCATGCCCAAGACACAGTGAAAATTCGTGAGGCCATGGCGGTAGGAGATGCACTCGTGCTGAAGTCAGAGGCTGTAAGAAACGCTGTGAAAGTTCCCATCGATCCATTGTGATTTCCTCCGCCATCTTGCATGTGTTACCGGATTCCCACAGTGACATGGACTGTGCATGGTGCGGATATGTTATTCCAGTTTTCACCCAGAGCTGACCGATAACAGGAGGTTTTAAAAAAGAAATAAATAAACAGCATTCTCTTGTCTGCACACCACCACTACTGACCGGGATGTCTTGGGTGTGCTGGCTCGCTCGCTCTCCGATGAAGGCACAGGTTAGGCAGCCAGCGGGTAGTTACAATGTTATTTATATATGTGTGTTCTCCCAGCCGACTGAGGTGCCGGGCCCGAGTCTATCCAGGGGGCCGCTGGCTCCTGTGACCGTGTTAATAACGCTCTGCAAGGCTTGCTGGGAGGGGTTGTGCCCACACCTTACAATTGTGGCGGGGTCCAGCCGAGGCCATCTTTTTATAGCCCATCCTTTGATGTCCGGCAGTGTCTTCTTCCAGTTTCCTCCCAGCTGTGGGTCTGGCGGCCCTGAAAACAGCTGGAAGAAAGACAGCCTGGTAGTGAATGAGTGCTTGTTCTAACAGTTCTCTCCTGGGTAAGTGGAGTAAGGAGGTCAACATACAACCAACCTTTTCCCTTTTCCTTTTCAACTTTAAGAAAAGAGTAGCTGGGAAATATTGAAATGAACTGAAGAACCAAGTAATGGCGAGAGATTCTATTGTCTTAAAAAGATATGTAATGTGGTTGGAAGTGCAGTCATTCCTGTTAATCATTTTTATATAAAAACACTGTATATTATGTTCCTTTGTGTTGAATTTTTTAAAAAAAATACTTTACTTGGATATTCATGTAATATATAAAGGTTTGGGGAAATGAACTTTAGTTAGGAAAAAGCTGACGTCAGCTTTCATCTGTGTGAGTTGACACAAATGTGTCATAATCTTTATTTTGGGAAATTAGTGTATTTTATAGAAATTTTAAAAAAACAAAAAGACTACTACAAGTTAAGATGATCTTTTTTTTTTTAACATGTCGTTTCTCCATATTTTCAGCTTTGTGATTGAAGTATCCCTGGCAATAGTTTCCTGGTATAAAGTTGGTTAAAATTTCATCTGTTGGTAGATCATTAGATGATATAATGTGTGGGCTTTCTGTTGGGTTCTTTGGAGACACTAGATGGATGTTGTAACAAGGGCTTGTTACACAGTGGTGGTAATGATAAAATTGCAATTTATCATTCCATTTATGTTAATTTTGAGGACTGGATAAAAGGTTTCATTATTAAAACTTGATGTTCAACCCTTCCATGTCCTTTGTATCAATCTTTGAAGGATTTGTTCTTTAAAATGAACAATATAAAGCCCCTTGGGGATGGAGGGGTGGTTCGGCTGTTAAGTGTGTGGCGTGCTCGCACAGAGGATTTGAACTCCGTTCTCACATTGGTCAGCTCACAGCTGCCTGTGTTCCAGCTCCAGGGGGCCCTTCTGACCTCTTCAGTCATTGTGCGTGCAAGCATACACACGCTTGCACACGCGTGTGCACACATACACAGGAACAGACAGTCAGACATGTGAGAGGTAGAGGTCTCATCCCAGCAACACAAACACACGCACACACTCACACAGAGACACACAAAGACAGACAGACAATTTTTAAAGCTTGGTCACTTTTGCCTTAGTTTCTTTTTTTAACTAATTTGTTGATTCTTTGGCTTAATTTCTAAGTGGTAAAAGTCTTTGTGTGCAGCCCAGACTGCAGGTGCCTCCTGTGATGGTCAGTTTGAAGGGTGTGATTTATTTTCCCTCCCAAACAAACCTTAATTGCTTAGTTTCCCCAAGAAGTCTAAACTCTTCAAAGAGTTTCTGGGTCTCGGAAGGTAGTCTGTAACACTTGCTGAGCTCTGTCCCTCCAGGGTTCCTAAAATAACCTAGCATGCGCACAATTTCTAAGTGTGGGAGCAGCGGAGCCCAAGCCAAACACAGGGCCACCACAGGTCTGGTGTGGCGTGGGAACGCGGTCCCTCGGCTCAGCATGATTTTAATCTCCCCGGACATGAAAGGCCCACAGAAGTCTTGTGTAAAAGTATGTTTCTCTAGTGACTTTGGGTTACCATATCAAATTACTTGTAAGAATTAAAGATCAGTAATTCTAGGTGGTACTGTAGCCAAGCCAGAAGCTCCCTCTGTAATTGCCTGTGTGGGCCAATTATGACATCATCCCTTCCTGCTCTTGCCCTGAGTGTCACACTGGTGTACGTGCGGGGCCAAGAAGAATGTGTCACAGTTTGAAACGTCTAATCTGTCCTTCTCGCCTTCTCTCTCTTTGTCTCTCTTTCTTTTTTTTTTTAAGACATTATCTCTATGTAACTAGCTTACCTAGAATTTGCTATGTAGGCCAAACTGACCCCAAACTCACAGAAATCTGCTTTCCTCTGTCTCCCAGAGTCCTGGGATTAAAGGAATGTGCCATGTTATGTTTAAATGTGTAATATTAGTTTCATCAAATTTAAATCAAAATCTTTTACCTCCTCCCTGCAGGGCATATGCTATAGACTAAATGCCTTTCGGGGTCTAAGTGCATTCCAAAGGAACAGACTAACACCCTGTTTACAAGTGCTGCACACTTAATTTTCTGTTCCTATAATAAAAAGACATTTTCTTTTTCTTGAGATGGCATTTCATCGTGTAGGCCAGGCTGCCTTTAAGCTCCTGGGCTTAAGTGATCCTCCTGACTTAGACTCTAAATCTCCCTCAAAACTCTAGACACGAACCATCGTGCCAGGTGTAGGGCCGAGTTTGCATTGCCTGTAGAAGTCAGTGAGTGTGTTAACCGAGTTTGTAATGCCTCTAGAAGTCAGAACAGCACTAGAGTTTATATTTGGAAAGAGCTTTTAAAAGAGATGCTTCAAGTTATTTAACTCCTTGTTTGTATGTATCCATGGGAAGTTATATATTTTTTCATTAGTGTATGTATGTAGTATGTGTGCCACAGCATTTGTGTGGAAGTCAAATGACAGTCAGTTTTCTCCTACCTTTACATGGCTTCCAGGCTTGCATAGTAAGCACCTTTACCTGCTGAGCCATCTCAACCATTGTTACCATTATCATTATCATTATCATTATCATTATTATTATTATTATTACACACACACTCGCACGCGTGCATGGGGCAGGGGCATGCATATTAAAAAAGAACCTGGTGAGAGTCACTTTTCCTACTGTGTGTTATTATTATTATTATACACACACTCACACGCGTGCACGGGGCAGGGGCATGCATATTAAAAAAGAACCTGATCAGAGTCACTTCTCCTACTGTGTGTTCTGGGGATCTAACTCGGATCATCAAGCTTCCACATCAAGTGTTTTTACCCACTGAACCATCTTGCTGGCTCCTGTGAAGCTATTTTTTTAATGTGTTTTAAAGCAATTAAACTGCCCTTATCAAGGAAAGTCCAACTGAAAACACTCCAAGAAAGGGAACTTGTCTGTCTCTGAAAATAAACCGGAGTATACTTACAAAGGAGGTTAGCCAGTGTCCAAGTTTGGCAAGGGGGAGTGACTCTCCTGTGGATCCAGACTTTAGGGAGTGCCTGGGACTTTGCTCTCTGCCTACCGCACAGGCCCTTATCAGCAGACACAGGAAGGAGCTATTAGACTGAATAGCGACCAGCCAAAGTCAACAGTGACAGCTTTAATATACCTGTCTCTGGCTGATAGATTTGTTTTTCCTTTTACAGTTAACCCTTGAACAATGCAGTTCTGAACTGGGCAGGTCCACTGTATATATAAGATTTAGAGATTTGTAACAGTTGGGGTGGGAGACAGACCACAAATCCTAACAATATCAAGGAAAACCAAAAAACATACAATGTATGTAGATAACAGTCTACCGTTTACTACCATAAAACACACACAGACCTGTTATTTTTAAAGAAGTTAAAAATTTATCAAAACTTACACACAGACTGTCCAAGGCACTATCTGCAGCTGAAATGAAGAAACGCAAAGACAAAAGAGAGAGATGCTCATAGACATAAGATGCAGCATAAATCATAACTGCATCAAAGTGCCGGCAGTGAGCCTGTGGCCACCTGGAGGAGCTAGCCGTGGCACCTGTTTAAACCACCTTGTGATCACGTGATGGACGCGTGACCCTTCCTCTTGCCAGGAAGTGAGCGGCCACCAACACTGGTGGTCCACAGTGTCCGCACATAATTTTCACAGTATGAAACATGTAAGATAATATGTTAATCAACTGCTGATGTCTATTGAGAAGCTTCCAGTCCTCCATAAGCTATTGGTAGCTGAGTTTTTGGAGGAGTATATGTCGGTTTTCAACTCCATGAGGAAATTGGCACCCCTGGCACACATGTTCACACGTCAAAACCCTGATTTGCCAGGTGTGGTAGCTCACACCTTTAATCCCAGCACTTGGGAGGCAGAGCGTAGGCGGATCTCTGAGTTCAAGGTCAGCCTGGTCTACAAAGCGAGTTCCAGGACAGGCTCCAAAGCTACATAGAGAAACCCTATCTTGATACAAAACAAACAAACAAACAAACAAAAAAACCACTCTGATTCAGTCTAGAGTTCCATTTCAGAACACCATGCAGAACTTGCTCAGTGTGGATTCTTGTCCCACAGGAGGGTCTGGAGATGATGTGTAAGGGGACTGCAGGTGACATTACTCTTTGAGTCCCCATTCCCTATATTGTAGAGAGTCAGACTAAGTAATTCCGTGGTACCATTAAGTCTCCAAAGATAAGGGAATTATCCCAGCTACGACCAGTGAGCCAGACACCACTGCTGTTGCTTTCACCTTAGACAAAATGTTTGGTTCCAAGAGGTTGCTGACCTTGGAGTTGAATCTTTCAAGGCTGGAAGGCTGGAATGCTTGTAAGGGAATAATGAGAGAGAGAGAGAGAGAGAGAGAGAGAGAGAGAGAGAGAGAGAGAGAGAGAGAGAGACAGAGAGAGAGACAGAGAGAGAGACAGAGAGAGAGAGAGAGAGACAGAGAGAGAGAGAGAGAGAGACAGAGAGATGAGAAAGCCTTCCTAAATAGGACTCAAACCCAGAATCTGTAGAAGAGAACAAAAACAAACAAAACTCGTCATTTCAAGAGAAAATTTGAAGTATCTACACCATAACCAAAGTCAAAAGAATGATGGGGGGAAATGTAATTCAGCAGTTCTCAACCCATGGGCTGAGACCGCTTTAGGGGGAGTCGGAAGACCCTTTCACAGGAGTTGCCAAAGGTCATCAGAAAACACGTATTTACAATTCATAGCAGTAGCAAAATTACAGTTAAGAAGTAGCAACAAAAATAACAACATGAGAACTGTATTAAAGGGTGGCAGCATCAGGAAGGCTGGGAACTGCTGCTGTAATCCCTGTAGCAGACAACAAGATATTGCCTTTACATGTAAAGAGCTTCTAAGGATCAGAACCAAATCCCAAAAGTGAAATTGACCAGGCACTTGACATTGTCCCATGTCTTGTCTCTTATAAAAACTAGTATCTGGGACTAGTTTAAAAGCTCATCTTCCCGGCCTCTGAGTCAGATACAGCTGTCTTCTAAGCTAGGTTTGGTTGTCATTGTGTGAGACACAGTATGGATGTGTAGACCAGGCTGGCCTCAAACTCCAGATTCTCCTGCCTCAGCCTCCTCAGTGCCAGGGTTCTAGAGACATGCCACCATTTCCGGGACTCTACTGGGATTTTGCTGAGATATAAGCTAAAGTGTTCAAAGAAACTTCTGTTCGATTACCCTTGGGGGAGGCACATACCCGTTGTCATTTTGTGTCCTTGTCGCTTCCTATCCCTTCCTTCAAGCATACCACGAAGCCAGCATGACTGTAATGCAGCAACTACCTTGAGCTACACTTTGTATTTTGTTTGTTCTTTCAAGACAGGGTTTCACTGTGTGGCTCCGGCTGTCCTGGAACTCACTCAGTAGACCAGGCTGGTCTCGAACTCACAGAGCTCTACCTGCCTCTGCCTCCCGAGTTCAGCTAGAGCTGCAAGTAGGGCCAAGGGATGCTCAGAAAAGTCCTGTTTATTATACTAAGACTCAAGAGAATTCAAGAAGCAGGGCTCAACCCTCAAGGCCAGTAAAGGAAAAAAAAATAAAAACAAAGTAACTTGGAGTGGTCAGGAGACAGAAGAAAGGAACAAAGGAAATATTTAGGTCGCTGCTTGTATTGGATTTTTGCAGGAAATCCCAGCTGCAGGGGATGAACACTCAGTAAGTTTAGCAGCTTTAGGCTGTTGGGGTGGTCTCGAGATGCCTGGCACCTGGCCCTGGGCAA